AGTAGATCGACATCTGCTGGGACTCAAGGTCAAGTCTGACAATCCTCCTCCTCGTCCTCCTCGTCCTTCTCATCCTTCTCCTCCTTGTTGTTGTTGTCGCCTGCCCCCCCCCCCCCCCCCCGCTCCCCTACCTCCTTGTGCTCCTTTGTTCTCCTCTGTCTTTTGTCCTTTGTTCCTCCTCCTCTGTCCTCCTTTCTCCACCTACCGTCTGCCTTCCTTTGCCTACTTCTTTTCTCCCTCTACCGTCCACCTTGTATCTCCTCCTCCTTCTGTTTTCTTTGTCTGTCACTGCTGACTCCTACTGCTGGCAGATCCTCGCTCTTATCAACGGCATGCCCTTGCCGAAACTCTTCCAAGTAACTCCTTGCCGCTGCTGCCATTCCTTTCCCTCCGTCTTCCTCCCTCCTTCCTCCTCCCTCCTCCCTCCCTCCTCCTCCCTTCTTCCTCCTTCCTCCTTCCTCCTCCTTCTCACTCCTCGTCTCGTTCTCCTTCTCTTCATCCTCCATATCTTTGTCCTCTCTTCCTCATCTCCTTGGGCAGGAGGAGGCCTACAACCTCGAATTTCAGCTCGCCACCTCCCAGAGCCCCATCGTGCAGGAGCACGAGAAGGTGACGGAGAGTTTGCGGGACCAGCCCAACACTGACTGCAGCTAAAGGTTCCCGTCGAGCTCATGACACTTGGAGGAGGGTTCGGGCCGATCACGTCTCCGGTCAGTGCGGGAGGAGGAGGAGGAGGAGGAGGAGGAGGAGGAGGAGGAGGAGGAGGAGGAGCAAGAATGTGGTGAATGTTAGTGACATTGATGGGAGGGTGAGAGTGGCTGAGGGTTGACGTGCATGCAGGGGCTCGGAATTTCTTATCACATCCTCCCCGACCGTCTCTACTTTTATGTTTCAGTGCGATCGAAAGATGCGGAAGAAGACAGCAAGAGGTGACGAGGACGAGGAGTAGGAGGAGGAAGTGACGGGGGGAGGAGGAGGAGGCGATGGAGCGGAGAAGAAGTGGGAGTAGAGTGATGATGGTCGGGGTTTGTCAGGTGCGTCGAGTACATCCAGCAAGCACTGGAGGATCTCAAGGGCCTTCTGCTCCGTTGCCCTCCAGAGAAGAAGAAGAGCTGAGCAGCCAAGGAGGAGGAGAGCAGAGAGCAGAGAGCAGAGAGCAGAGAGCAGAGAGCAGAGAGCAGGAGGTGAGAAGAGCAGTGCATGAGGAATAGGAGAAGGAGGTCAGAAGACAGCGAGCGAGGGTATGGAGGCAGGCAGAACCGAAAGAGGTGGGTGAGGTGATTGTGTTGGTGATGAGTGAAGTGAGTGAAAAAGTAGAAGGGGAGGAGCAGGATCAGAGTGTGAAGGGACGGATGAAATCCTCCTTGCTCGTTCTAATCACATTCTTTGTTACTCATTATCACACTCTGCTTCTTAACTTGACAGAGTCTCCAGCCTGTTGAGCATTCTCTGCCATAGCCTGCTCCCCGTCCCTTGCACAACATCGTTGAGCTCCTGCCTCTCCTTCTCTTCCAACTTCTCCAGCGTGCCCAGCACTTCCTGCAAGTTCGTCTGCCAACCTCCCGCACTGCTCTCCTGGCTCTCCTCCTCCTCCCTCCGCACGCTTCCTCCGTTGAGCACCGTCAGCAGCTGCTTCAGAGCGTCTGCTAGAGGAGCAGGGAGCGAACTCCATCCCGGCAGCTTCCCCGTGGAGACAACCGAGAGGAGGAGGCGAGAGGCCGCACGAGGGTCGACCAGCGCGTCTCCTGCTACCAGCGTCGCCGCGTCCTCTCCTAGCGCGCTCTTGATCAGATCGACGAGGGAGATGGCGTAGAGTTCCTCCTCCCTCGTCAACTTGGGCGCCACAACCTCCAGGAGCTCCTGGGGAGGGCGCAAGACGGGCTGGGGAGTTCCGCTGGCGGTGGGGAGGAGGAACATGGTGGGGACTGTCTCGGGGGAGGGGAGGAAGGAGGAGATGAAGGGAGGGCGGGGGAGGTTGTTGAGGAAGGCGCTGAAACCCTTGCGGAGGCTCTGGCGGAGGAGAACGTCTGCAGCGTTCTCAACCTGCGGGAGGGTGTCAGGGTGGTGGAGTATGGAGGAGGAAGGAAGCGAGAAGAAAGGGAGTAGCATCAACGGAAAGAAGATGAGGGGTAAGAAGAGAAGAATGGATACGCAGAGGAGAGGGAGGAGAGGAGGGTTGAGAGAAGGAGGAGAGGAAGGAGGAGGAGGAGGAGGAGGAGGAACAGGGAGTAGCAAGATGTAAGGAGGAAGGAAGAAGGAAGAGAGAACGGTGACGTCACCTCATCTGCGAGGATATTCCGCAAGCTCCTCGCCTTGTCGCTCAGGAGGTACTTGATCGCCTCCTCCAACGGGACTCCCTCCTCCGGGATCGAGTCGAAGTCGATGAACGCTCCTCCCTGGGTCCTCGCCACCACCCCGAGGGCCCCGTTGAGGAGGACGGAGAGTCTTGAAGTCTTCAGCCCTCCTCCTGCATACAGCACCTCCTGCAGAGCCCTCTGAACCTCCGGCCGATCCTCCCGGAGGAGCTTGCGGGCAACGAAGGGGTAAGCCTCCATGACGAGGCCGTAGGAAGGGTCTCCTATCAGCGCCACCCCCTCCAGCGTCACGACAGCGCGGGCGATGAGGGCGAAGTAGGGGGGGATGGTGAAGGGGATGTCGTTGAGGACTGTCAGCGCGTCCTGGGTCATGGCCTGGAAGCCGCCGATGGCGGCACCGGACGATCCGTCCATGCCGTACATCCTCTTCAGCTCCTCCTCATACTTCTTTGCTCCTCCTCCCTTGACGTAGGGGGAGAGGGCCTTGTCCATCAACGGGATGACCTTGGGACGGTCGCAGTCAGGTGGGAGGATGCCGAGCGAGATGAAGTCGTCGACGAGGGCGGGGTAGTCCTTGTTGGCAAGGTGGATGATGGCGTTGACGATCTGATCCATATCTTCCTGCTGCAGGCAGGCCACCAGCCCGAAGTCGATGAGCGCGATCTTGCCCTTGCTCTCGTCGGACATCCGGATAATATTCCCTGGATGAGGGTCGGAGTGGAAGAACCCAACTTGCAGCAGCTGCGTCAGGAAGCTCTCCTGCCCGATCCCGATCACCTCCCTGATCTCCTCCGGCGAGCACTCGGAGAGTTTCACGCCGTCCACCCACTCCGTGACCAGCAGCCTCCTCGTACAAAGCTCCTCGTATACCTCAGGCACGTACATCCCCTCCACCATCTGCTCCTCCAGCAGGCCCTTCAGCTTCTTTTGGTTTGCGCACTCGTTCATGAAGTCCAGCTCTGTGTAGAACCCGACGGCCCACTCGTTGAGCAGCGCAACGTAGTTGGTCCTCTGCTGGGGAGCAAACCTGTCCATGAGCCCCTGGTACACCTCAGCTGCTCTCCTCAGCACGTAGAGGTCCTTGCTGACCACTGAGAGCACGTCGGGGCGCTGAACTTTGACCGCAACCGTCTCTCCTGTCACCAGCTTCGCCTTGTAGACCTGAGCAAGGGAGGCTGCGGCCACCGGCTTCTCGGAGATCTCGCTGAAGTACTTGCCCAGCGGGGCCTTCAGCTCCTGCTCAATCATCTCAACCGCCACCTTGGTGTCGAAAGGCTTCACGGAGTCCTGCAGGTAGGCCAGCTCGTCGAGCACGGGCTGGGGGAGGACGTCCGGCCGAACTGTAGCAGGAGACACACAGTGAGATGCTAGTGCATACTCGCAAGCAACAAGGGATACCTGACATCATCTGCCCGGCCTTGATGTACGTTGGCCCGAGCTTCTCCAGGTTCTGCCTCGCTTCCCTCGCGAGGTCGACCTCGTTCTTCTTCAGCTCGTCCACTCCTCCTCTCACCAGCATCGTAATCATCTTGGTCAGGAAAGGAACCGAGACTGAGAGGAACTCTCTCCACCGCTTCTGCAGGGCCCCATCCTGCTTCCTCCAATACGCTTCAATGAGCTCCTTGTCGTACACGATCGGCAGCCCCTCCTCGTCAACAGCTCCCTGCCTCTCCTTGTCCTTCACGATGTATGTCTTGTCGACGTCCGGTGCCTCCAACTTCCTCATGCTCACAGCAGCGTTGACAGCTGCGGCAGCGATGGCTGCCGAGGTTGCGAGGCTCTGCGATGCTGCCTCTGTAGGCGACCGCACTTGCATCCTCAGGGATACCGGCGAGGTTCGTCTCGCGCCATTGCTTGAGGGTCGCAAGAGGTAGGAGGGGCGAAGGCTGAAGGAGACGACATGCGAGCAGAGGACGAGGAAAACCAGGCACGACGCAAGGTTCGATGACGCCATAGTTGGTTCGGGGAATGAGCGATGAGAATTCGGCACTTACTGTGTTGCTGATAGCTCTGATTTCATGAAACCTCTGCTGCTCGTTCCTTGTTGACCTTTGTTCCTTGTTCACTATGTACGAGTGTTTCGACTACGAAAGAAAGGCCCTTTTCGAAGCTTGACTGTCTGTGTCAAACGGTTTTCTCGCTTTCAATTCGTATTTCCTCTCTCCTCTCCTCTCTTCTCTCCTCTCCTCTCCTCTCCTCTCCTCTCCTCTTCTGATCTCTCCTCACTACTGCTTCTCCTTCACGTCGCTCCGAGCGGTCTCGTTGCTTTGTCTCTATCTCGACCTTATAAGACTCTCCCTCCCTACCCCCCACCCCCTCATTAAGAGTCCTACCCCATTTGAAACATTTACCACCCGTACAAGACACTAACCCCTACCTCCTTATCTCGATGATTTTCAGGGCCAAGGTACCCTCCAGATGTACCCCACCCTCAAGCATATCACCGGACCCTGCCCCACCACCTCTCCCACAAGTTACATTCCACCCCTCCATACTTCTCGACAGACCACTGCCACGCAAAGTTGAAGAGAGGGGTGGGGTCATCGGTCAGCAAGCAGGGGTCCGAATATCCTGGGAAATTCAGAGCAATTTTGAGTAGTACAGGGGGGTAGTATGCCAAACTAGATCAAATCTCTGGGGTGGGGGTAATCATATGAGGGGAGGGGTAGAGAGAACATGCATCTTACCACCCCTTCCTTTGATATAAGAAATTGGGGTGGATGGTGAATTGACCTTCACCCCTGTTTTTGTCTTTCAACAAGGTGGTGGGGGTTATTAAAATACATACCACCCCCTTCCAGACTTCTATTGGCACGGGTAGTTGATTTACCCCAATCTACCCTAAAAACTCAGATGATTTGGACGGGTGATATGTATTATGAAGTACCCCTTCATCAAAGGGTTAATTTGGGGGTAAGAGCCTCTATGAGAAATCCCAGAATACCCCCACTTTCTATTGGATACGGAACGGTAGGGGTGGTTGGGCCATGGCTGCGTTCGGCCTTATGTTGGCGGTGGCTGTAGCAGCAGGGGAAGGAGGAGGAGGAGGAAGCGGTGGAGGGATCAGAGGAGGGGGTCTGAGTGGAGGAAGGGCGGGATGGTTCGGAGAGGAGATGATGCTGGCCATAGACTGCAAGAAACTGTCAAGAGGACATTTGGGGGCAATTTGCGAAGCTGAAGTAGGAGAATCGAGAGATGGGAGAATAAGCCATGGATTTCATTGCCGGTGGAAGTCAATGGCAGACAATTTGATGACGGAAAAGAAAGGGATGGAATGGAGCAAGCTGAGGTTGAGAGGAGGCGGGGACGCAACCGACGACGAGCTCATGCAAGAGGAAGCCAGAGCTGCTGGAGACGATGATGAAGAGTTTGTGGAGGTGGTGATTCAGAACTTGTGCTTCGGGAGGAATGAAGAGCTGCACATGACGCTAGATCTTCAAGCGCCCATATCCGAGATCAAGAAAGAGATCTACATGAAGTACCCCTCCTGGGTATGCCCAGCGGATCAGATGGAATTGATATGGAGGGGTAGAGAGCTATCAGGAGTCAACCACGAGACTCTGCAGCAGCACGGGCTCAAGTGTGAGGAAGGAGAAACGCAGATCCGAATCATTCTTCGGCAGAAGTTCCTTGCGGCTGACGCCATGGCAGACCAGGTCTTTATCACGTGCTCTCTCCCTCCTTCCGTGCCTGACCGCTGGGCCAGAGGATGCGCAAGGCCGCGAGCGACTTTCCTTCGATGATGATGCCAGGCGCACAAGACTCGAAGGTGATCATGGAGCTGCTGAAGTCGAACCCGCAGCTGCAAGCGATGTGGAACTCGAATCCTCAGGTGAGAGCCGGTCTTCTTGGTTGTTCCCCCCACCGTAACGTTGCTCCCTCCCTTTTCAGATCCGTCAGATGCTGAGCAATCCCGAGAATCTCCGACAGATTCTCCCGCAGCTTGCCAACGCAGGCCTTATGTGAGTTTGTCCTCCCTGATTCCGTTGGTTGTTGCAAGCGGTGTAACGGCGCAACAGTCCGGATCAGGAAGACATGATGAACATGCTTGGACAAGGTAACTTGTGTCAGGAGGACGATGACGATTCTCTGAATTGTCTGCAAGATGAAGATATGAACTCGATGATGCAACCAGACTTCGGGTATGAAGACGAGGAGCAGAAAAGGTCGGGTGCAAGCTCGGGATGCCATGGGTTTTTAACGCTGTGTAGGAGTAAGATCGCGAGCCAGGAGGAGATCATGGAGTTGGCAAAGATGGACGCAGCGGTCTCTTCTTCCTTATTGATTCCAATCGAGTGCTGACGTGGACGTCAAGGAGCTGAAGGAGAAACTTAGCTTTAGATCAGAATCCTTCAAGCGAGCAGTGATGGAGGTGGAGCCTTACTCACCCAATCCTTTTCTCTCTCCTTATGCTGTCCTTTCTCTCCTTCTCGTCCCTCTGCCTCTGCATTATCAACCCATTACTCTCCTACTTGATCCATCCGTCCTGTCTTCAGTCGCTCTCTTCCCCTTGTCCTCCCTCCTGCACTCTCGCTCTTCCCCCTGACCGTCGTCTCCGCATCATCTTGACTCGCAGGCACGCGAAAATCTCTTCGAGGCAACGGAGGGCTGGGACAGGAAGACCTTTCGTGAGAGCTTGAGGACAAACGCGACGCTGGCGAGGCAGTATGCGCAGCTCTACACCGAGAGGGGGAGCCTGGAGGAGGTACGCAAGGCCCTTATCTCCAACAGGACCTTAGCCCTCCAGTACGTCCATCTCTCCACTCTCCTAAACTGCAAGAGGAACGTCTCCGCTGCCGTGCAGCCTCGACTCGAGCAAGGAGGGTCCACGAGGAGCTCAGCAGAAGCTCACCGCGGGCTCCCTCTGGAGCAGAGGGGCCTGAGTCCAGCTGGGCTCGTCGCCGGGGATGGAAACGCCAAGGGCATCACCTTTGGCAGCCTGCAGGCTGCGCTGGAGCAGGCAAACCAAGAGCTGAAAAGACCTGCTGCGACATCGGGTATATCAAGTCTCCTCTTCCCCTCCCCTCCCTCCCCTCCCCTCCCTCCCTCCCTCCCTCCCTCCCTCCCTCCCTCCCCCACTGATGTCTGCCTTCCTTCGTAGCGGCCGCTTCTGTCCCTCCTCAACCCTCACGACGCTTTCATCCTCACCATCATGTCAGGGAGCAAGAGATCGTTGGACGAGATCTCGGCGCAGACAGCGGAAGAGGTCAGGGGGTTAGGAGGGATGCCATCAGCGAGTCACAGGAGCGAGGACGTGAGCACGAAGAGGAGGAGCGATCAAAGCTCTGGAGCAGCACAGAGGGAGGAGATGGTTAGAGCCGTTCCTCAGCTGAACAGGGATCAAGAGACTCCAGCTCGAGAGACTCCAGCTAGCCCCGAGCAGTCACTTCCTGCCCTTCTGGAGCGAATAATCTCAATGTTTTCGACTCAGGGGAAGAACTCGAAACGAGCTGGAGAAGAGGACGAGGGGCTGAAGGTAGACTTTGGGGAGCAGCGCTTCCAAATCAACGAGGTAGGAGGAAGACGAGGAGATGGAGATGAAGGATTGAGGGAGACGATAGAGGAAAACAGGAGGCGGAGGAGGGGCTTGAGCAGAGACAGGGGATGAAGGCGGGTTGAAGGAAGGTCTCGATTGAAGTCCTTTGGCAGTTGGCGAGGAAGGAGGAATCGCTTCTCCGGATGCTCCGAGGAGCTCGACGGATCGTGAAGGTGCTGAAGGAGACCGGGGAGGTGCTGGCTGCGAGGAGGCGAGTGCGGGTGAGCACGTGTTGATGACGGAGGTCAGGAGCTGAAGAGTCTCGCAGGAATGCTTCATGCTCCTCCGCGGCCTCTCGGAGGCAGCATGCTTGCGGGAGCTTCGCAGACTCTCAGATCTTGTGTCCTCCTTCGAACCGCTGGAGGCTTCAGATCGAGCCGTCCTTAGTGAGATCGGGTCGTTCCTTCAATCCCGACCTATCGCAGACGATGCCGACGAGGTGGAGGAGGTTGAGGGGGAGCAAGGGCCGAATGATATGATGGAGGAGGAGGAGGAGCAGAGGAAGAGGGAGAGGAACTGGGCAGAGTGCCGCACTTGGCTGGAGATCATGATCTTCAACCACGAGTTCTCGAAGCAGATCAGGACGCTGCACCAGGAGGACGGGAGCGACTGCCCCCAGCTGTTGATCAATTACGCGAGGATGAACGGAACGGAGATGAGAAGGCAGCTGGAGGAGGACGACCTGCCCTACGAGGAGATGGAGCAGGCGTATAAGGAGGAGATGGAGGAGGAGGAGGGGGGGGACGGGGAGGAGGAGGCTGCTGCGGTCGATCCGAGAGAGAAGTATTCCTCGCAGCTCCTGCAGCTCATCGAGATGGGGTTCGAGGACGAAGAGGCGAACCTGCTGGCGCTTATCGACACAGGAGGGAGCGTTGAGAACGCTATCACCAAACTTGTTTCATGAAGTCTCCTGCTCCTGCTCCTGCTCCTTATCTTCCAAACCACGTGTTCTTCTTCCCGCTACTGCCGTCCTTGCCCGCCTCCAGCTTGCCCTGCTGATCCTGCTTCGCCTCCGGCTGCTCGAGCTCCTGCTTCATGGGCGGCAGCCCAAGGATGGCTCGCACCTCGTTGCCAGTGAGCGTCTCCTTCTCAATCAGCTCCTGCGCCAGCAGATGAAGCTTGTCCTCGTGCTGGGTCAGGATCTTCTTGGCGTTGCTGTACGCCTGTGCTCACGATGGAGTAAGAGACAGGAGGAGAGGAGAAGAGAAGCGGGAGAGCGAGGAAAGGGAAAGACGAGGAAAGGGGAAGATGAGGAGGCAAGCGGAAGGGCAGAGAAAGGAAGGGAACGGCAAGAGAAGAGGAGGGAACGAGCTAGTAGGGGGACTATAACTGCATGGACTAGACTTCATCCCGACCTGAGACGTCAGCCGTTTGATCTCCCCGTCGATCGCTGCCCGCACCTCCTGCCCCATGATCGGCTCGCCGTCCCCTCCCGTCAGGTTCTTGTAGCATACGGTGCCAACTTTGTCGCTCATCCCCCACCGCTCAACCTGCCACTTGGCGTCAAGGAGAAGAAAATTTCTCCAGCTACCCTTCCTCCTTCTCTGCTTGCCGCTCCTCTTCCCCTTGCTCCTTTTTCTGCTCCTCCCTTCGTGCTCTTTTCACTTCCCCCTCACCACTCCCTGCTCCTCTCTTCCTGCTCTTCCGCTGCTGCTGCTCCCGCTTCCCCTCCCTTCCTGCTCCTCACCATGTTCGTTGCGATGGACGTCGCTTGCTCGAAGTCGGAGGAGGCTCCGCTCGTCACATTGTCAGTCCCGTAGATCAGCTCCTCTGCCACTCGTCCGCCCATGCACACGTCCATCTTTGCCAGCATCTGCCTCCTGCTCCAGCTCGTCTCGTCCCCGTCGGGCAGCTGCATCACCATGCCCAGCGCAGAGCCACGAGGAACGACCGTCGCCTTGTGGACAGGAAGTGCCCCGTCCGTGAAGGAGGCGACGATGGCGTGGCCGGACTCGTGATAGGCTGTCAACTTCCTACTTTCTTCCGTGATCACCTGAATCAAAACTCAGAACCACGTCAAATCTCACCCCATCCCTCCCTGCCTCCTGGCCTCTCCCTCCTCCACCTCTTCCTCGCTTCCCGCTCTCTTCTCTCACCGCGCTCTTCCTCTCCACCCCCATCATGATCCTATCTTTGGCGAACTCGAGGTCGCGCATGTCCACTGCCTTCTTGTTGTCGTTGCTCGCCTTGATCGCTGCGATGTTGACCAGGTTCGCGAGGTCCGCGCCTGAGAACCCTGGAGTCCCTCGAGCAAGGATCGACACGTCAACGTCTGCGTGCTTGGGAACTTTGTCGAGGTGCAGCGACAGGATCTGCTTCCTGCCCTTCACGTCAGGGTTGGGCACCACAATGTGCCGATCGAGTCGTCCTGGACGGGTCAGAGCCTTGTCCAGCACCTCGGGGAAGTTGGTAGCTGCGATCACGACGACCCCCTGGGAAGAGGAGAAACCGTCCATCTCAGCCAGCAGCTGGTTCAGCGTCATGCGCATGTACTGCTGGTCCTTGGGGTTTCGGGTGGCTCCGATGGCGTCGATCTCGTCCAGGAAGATGATGCAGGGGGCCTTCCTCTTGGCCGCCTCGAACAGGTCCCGCACTCTTCTCGCTCCTACTCCCACGTACATCTCCTCGAACTCCGACCCCGAAGCGTAGAAGAAGGGAACACCAGCCTCCCCTGCGATTGCCTTCGCAAGCAGAGTCTTTCCCGTCCCAGGAGGCCCCATGAGGAGGACGCCCTTCGTCATCTTCCCTCCCAGCCGTGTGAACTTCTCCGGCTTCCTCAGGAACTCGACGATCTCCTGCAGCTCTGCCTTCGCCTCGTCCACTCCCACAACGTCCTTGAAGGTTTTGGTACTTTCTGCAGGCTTCACTGCCTCATAGTTCGACATCATCCCGCGGGCGAGTCCCCTCTCCTCCATGATGGTGGTCAGGCCCAGGAGAAACAAGTAGGCTCCTGCAAGGATTCGGATGGTTCGCCACACTTGATCCTTGGCCGAAGGCTCTGCCATGGCCACATGCACAGTTTGCCTTCCAGACTGGGAGCCCATTCCTCTGCGGGCTGATCCATCCATCATCGAGGGATGCATCGTAGGGTCCTGGTTGTCATACGACCGTGAGTGAAATCGTCTATCTTCGTCGTCGTTTGTCCTCGTGCTGCCGTCAGCGTCGCTTCTTGAACTCTGGTACATCTTCTTCTTCTCCATCTCAGCTCGCTTCAGCTTCAAGGCCTTCACGTACTCCTGCAGGATCTCTTCTGTGATCACGCTCGACTTCATTCCTTCAATCCAGCTGATGACTCGCTCGGGCATACTCTCTTGGTTAAGTTGCTGAAGGAAGACGAGTTGCCTGCAGCAAGTCACGTGAGGACGCACCATTGGCAACGGAGGGGCGGCGAAGTCACCTTTTTGAATCAAACGTGTACTCTTTTGCATCTTTCTCCAAACCTTTCAAGCTCATATATTTCATTTGCAGAGTGCTTGCTCTGATCGACATTGAGTGAATCGCCCAAACACCACAGTGGGGTCTCACCTGCCGGACATGCCGCGCACCAAAATTTCGCTCAGGTGAGAGTGAAGACAAGAGTTAGGCTGCCCATCACAATGAGTGCTGTTCGAGTAACATATACAAGCAGATGCAACCTTCGTGTATCTTGAGAGATGCAAAGCGCTTTGTTCGCTCAAAATTCCTCTGGTGAACCTGCTGCTGCAATACCTGGCACCATTCCTTCCATAGAGTCTTTGATCCGAGGCTAGAGGCCGAACTCCTCTGCAAGCCTCAGATCCCATGAACTTCGCTCCTCCAACCATCATACACATCCTCTTCTCCCCTACCGCCATGCCCCTCATCTTCGCCCGCATGCTCGCTATGTCCCCGACAAGGCGCTGCATGCCCCCCTCCTCCACTACCCCTACCCCGCTCGTCTCCTTTTATATGCTACCACCAGTCCTCCACTACCCCACCCACACTTAGACTGAACATTTTCAGCTCAAACAGACCCGTAGTATCCACTCGGCGAAGCCGGGCCCGCCGCGGTCAACTATCAAGGTAGCGGTTACGTTCGTTTTTCCGTTACAGATCACCTACAAGAACAAAGACACGCTGAAATTTTTACATGGAGGCTGCGACCCACGAGGGCGGCGGGAAGTGTGCGAGGATGCGGAGAGGAGGGGGAGGAGAGAGGGAAGTGACAAGGGATTTCAGAGGAACGAGACGAGGATTCTGTCCACGTACGAACATGATTATGCAGTTGATGGCAGTGCTCCTCTTTGTGATATGTGGGACATCCGCCGAAATCCTCCCCACCTCTCCTGCCTTGCATGAGCAAGTGCGTCAAGGATCATACACAGGCACCATCAGGTTACGGGGAGGTGGGGGAGAGCGAAAATTCGAGGTTGAGCACAGACTGTTTGTTGCAAATTTGCCAAAAACCCTGAATGATGAAGGGTTAAAGAAAGCTTTCGAGCCTTTCGGTAAAGTGCTCGAGGCGAAGGTACATTCTTATCAAGATCAATCCAAATGTATTCTAAGAATTTTGAAGGTGATGCTTGATATCGAAACCGGGATGTCGAGACGAATGGGATACGTCAAGTATGCTGATGGTCGTTCGGTCCTCGAAGCGATTGAAGAAATGCACGATGCGGTGATTTCGCGTGGCTGCTTGTGACTTGGTTACAGTTGCTGTGCTTACTGATCTTTGTTATCTAGGAATTCTGCGCCCCTGCGACCAAGGGCTCCCCTGAGATCTGTACCAAATTACTGGTGACTGAAGCGAAGCCTCCAAAGCAAACTTGGTGACAAACAGAAAGGAATGCTCTTTCAACAACATAGTAATCAACACGATTTCTTTAAAAGAATAAAGTCCTATCAGTCTCTTTAAGACCTTTTAAAATCTAACAAATCCCCCCCTCCTTGGGGCAAGGCAGACTGCTGACACGAACACCAGATGGGCCCCGGCGGTAAGACACAGCATAGGTGTCATCGGTCTGCAAGAAGATGTTATCGCTCTTACATTATACTGGCGAATATGAATTACCTGCATGTACCCTCCATGTCCACCAGGAGCATACTTGTTTGCGACTCTTGCCAATGGTATGCTCCCCGAGGAGGGATCAAACAACTGCCAAACATCAAGAACGATCAATTCATCGCAAGATGACTCAAACGACGAATGATGGGGTGAATTCACACATGCACAACAGGATACCAAGGGCCACACTTTGCTGCAACATCAACTTCAATCAGCATCACTTACATCGCCTCCAGTCCCAGCGCCCCAATATTGTGAGTTACCACCACTGCCATTCTTCCAACCTGCGGACATAACAATCAAGACGATGTTTTTCATATAATTCTTGGTCAAAATCTTGATTGCGTGAGACTTGTTGTCGGTGAGTCGACGCATCACAGGCAACTCAGTTGTTGAGCGAATATTCTCTTCCCATTCATGATGCACAGAAACCCACAACCCGCAAAGATGCAATCATCGCATGAGAGCTCTCTAAGAAACAGTGGAAGAATTCGATAGATGCTAGATGCCATGTTCGCTCACCGTCAGGCAGCAGATTGCGCGTCCATGAGCCGCTTGATGGCGTGTACGACAACAGCTCGAACATGGTGATAAATCCGGCAACCTCACCCCCACCCACCCACATCCATGAAAATAACCCTACCCTTCCGTCGGCTCTGCCGGGCCGCCGGGCCGGGCGCGGCCGGTGGGCCGCCGCAGCCGGGCTCCGTTGCCGGCCCGGGGCCCGCGTGACTCATCCGCCATGATTCAGTTGGCTGGCCGCTGCGGAGCCACTGACAGTGAACGGCGGGCCTCTCTGTTGACTCGCCGCCGCTCCCGCACTCTGCGGCGGCGCGAGCGGCCTCAGGGCTTCCCCGCGGCGAGGTTCGCACCGGCGCCGGGCGGCATACGTTACACAGCCTCAGCGCCGCAGCACTGGGGATAGGGCATTGAGCAGTGTCACGGTGATGTTTCTTGCGGCAAGTCAATCATGACAGTTTTGGGTTGTGGAAAAAAAATAGAAGGCAAGATCAAAATCCAAGCTCAGTCCATCGTGCAACGTTTTTGTCCAGCTGCTCCAAGCACTTCTGACATCGGTCCTTGATCTCTGGAATTGCGTTGACGCAGAGGTGGAACCTAAAAGACAAGCATAAGCTCACTCAGACATTTCTTGCATCAACTATCGTACAAGGGTCGAACAAATCCGATAAAAAAATTCTTCTGCGCTGTTCGTCCACAGCTCGCATTTCGATCCAGCATTGGGATGACTTCCAAGCCCATCTCTCTCTCAAGATCGCCCTGTTAAGACGCAGAAGCAAAGTGAAATTCAAAGGATTATCCCACATTCCTACCTGAGAGAAGAATTCTGCAAGAATCGCGTGAGTCCACTGCACATGGATATTCCATGGCTTGCAGGGGTTTGAGAGGTCTGCCGCGTGAAGCAGAGTCTGCAGGGTGAACTTCCTGTCTTCAGGGTCGCTCAGGTCCATGTTCTTTGTATGGGCCTGCGCCTTTGAAACATTCAATTGCAAGGTTGGCAAGATCAGACAAGAAATGAAAACCTCCTCGAGGCGCTTGATGATCTTGTTGTGCAGAGACAGGTCTGTGTGCAATACCTGAAAGGACAAGTTAAGGATAAACATCAACTTGAGTATCGACATACCAGCTCCTTCAAATAGTGCCGTAAATAATCCTTTCGCTCGGCACTAAGAAATGACAGCACGTCCTTGTCCGGTTCCGCCATAAGGTCTAGAGCTAACGTCGCATGATGGGTTTCCAGAACAGAAGTATTATTGTACTTGATGGCAATCTGTCAAAGAGAAGGGTAAGAGAAAAACTTTGTGAGAGCAAAGCTTCCTTACAGGATGCTGCTGCTTGATCAGAAAAGCGTTATTCACTCCAGGATGTCCAATGTCATGAGCTGGACCAGCCAAAAGAGTAATCTGCAAAAACTAAGAACTGAAACGAACTACAGCAGCGATGGCTTACAAAGAGCTCATCTGGAGCAATGCTTTCTTCGATTTCTCCACGGACAAGGTAACTTAGGGCTTGCATGACGTCGGCAGCATGCATGGGATTGTGGTACATGCAAGTGTTGTACATGTCTTCGAAGGCAACTAAATATCTGAGACCGACTCAGAAGCAGGAGAAGAAATTGTCTTTACCTTTTCAAGACTGTCTCGTCAATCTTCAATTTCGTCATCAGGCCATGCATGTGTATCAAAGCAAAAGCAAGCACAGCAAGCGGCCGCCCCTTCGTCAACTGCTCACCATGTCAGCGCGGTCAGATCAAGACACACCCGGTGATTAGCTGACCTCATTCAAGCGGAAGAGATCAAAATCCCAGGAGGAAATTGATTCGGGCGACAAGAGCTTCTCCAGCTCATCAGACATTTCCGGCCAAGAGAACTGTTTCCTGTGTTCATCGTCCTTGAACTCAGCACCGAGCCTTGCGATGTGGTGCTGCAGCATATCAGGTGGTGTTGCATGACCCAGCAGCAAAAGCTCGACTCCGTCGAAAACTGGTCGCTTGCCTGCACCATTCTCTGGGAAAGGAGGAGTTGTGGTCGCAGTCATCTCCTGCACGAAAGGACCCTCAATTACATCATCACGAACAGAAAGAATTGACTTGCACTGTTGAGCTGCAGAGAATTGCAGGCCAACGAAATACAGTGCAAAAAGGAAACGAACGAAAGTTTGTTGCGAAAGGGTCAATGATTTGTAATCCATCTCATCAGGCACATGGAAATCGCAAAATTCCTGACATCACAGTCACAAGTATCATGTTGTAAAATACAAGGGGAAAGGCTCTGGGGAGATTGAAAAGGTTATAAAAAACACATCCAAGCTGGAGATGAAGATTCTATATTGCATGATGGTGACAATGCAGTGCAAGGCAACAGGCCAAATTAGCAGGAAAAACATGATTCTTATCCCAGGCATCAGCCCCGCAGTGACTGACGAGCATTCACAGGACAAAATAAACATAGAGCAGACATTGAGCAACGATGATCAGTGAAAACTATCATCTTCTATCGGATCGAAATACATGATTCATCGCTTCCTCCTTCGTTCCCACCGCTACCTCCTCCTCCCCTTCACCGACGCTCCTTTGTGCATGAGGAGAAGCCAGCAATTGCTCGGAACCGGTCATGCTTCCACAGATTGCTTAAATTGATAGGGTGGGTACAATTTTCTACCGGTACTTTCCTGATATAATTTGATTTCTAGGTACCAGGTACTTGAAGCATTAAGGGGGTGGAGTACCCCATGGGAGGGGAATTGAGAATTGAGAGTCCGTGACCTGGTCCGTGCTTGCTGAGCACTTTTTGGTATTTTATATTGTACGGCGTTGAGGACGTTCATAGCAGATTTTAGGATATGGGTCATCCTGCAGTACTTCTTCCATGTAAAAACTAATATTCTTTTGTAAAATGCAGTACCACAAGTTCAAAATGTGTTTTATACGGGGCCATCCAGATGCAGGGGTAGCAGTAAAACCCCAGGTGAGGGGTGGGGTTGTTTGACGGTCACCAGTAGGGGTGCGGGTTGCCTTATCCTTTAATCGACAAAAGGACTCCCGAAGGAGTCCTGGACCAGCATGACAGGGGTCATTGATAGGTTTCAATCACCCATCCAATGGGGCTGTATGAGGGTCTTAAAAAAGAAAAAAAAAAAAACTTCCCGCCTCCGACGGAAAGTTTGTGGCACTGCTCGTTTCATCTTCCCGCCATTACAGAGTTTGCGGTCCGACAATACACTGAAACGATGGTAATGAAAAAAATGTAGCGACTACCTGCTATCTAACATGGTTTCGCCAGACTAACATACTATAACATGCCGAGGAAGAGAAAACGAATTACAGATGATTCAGACAACGGTCAAGAAATAAGTTATTCAAAACCATTCACGAGAGTCGTCAAATGTGGGTTATACTCGAGACTCAAGGTAGAGAACAGATCGATTTTAGACGTGATCGACAGATGGGTATTACATATCAGTCAGATCACATCAAGAGGCAGTATGATATTCAACTGTTTTCTGATATGGGGCAGGGATACAGGGAATTTACGATATGTAGTAGATGAAATCAAGAGAGCCAAATCGACCTTTTTCTGGAATGTTTTTACACTTGGAATGGAACAACATAGCCGTACAGATAACAAGTATCCAACTCTACAACGTTTCTGGTCAGAGAAAAGACATCTTTTCGTTGATTTATGTAGAATTCGAGGAGACTCGCAAGCTATTGTATTCGCTGCAAATCAATATGGAACGAATTTCTACCAAGACCTGAAAGCAAATTTTACAAACCGATTGGAAAAGTTCATTGCCGAATTCTGCAAAGGAGAGTTACATATTAACCATCAGCAAGAAATCGAAGACGTGAAGAATGTATTGTTTCAAAGGAAAGATTACGAGTTGACGACAGAAGTGTTTAACAGGAATAATTCACAGCAGATAGGAACCTTCATCGACCATATGAAACAACTAATTGGATTATCGGGGGACGAAGATCTTTTTAGTTTCAAATATGACAAATTTGATCATAGGTTGCAGAAAAATCTGTTTGAGATAATCGAGACACACATGTTCATGTTGAAGTTCTTCGAAGATCGTGGTCTCTCGAAAAAAACATTCAAGGCAGCACCAATGTCGAAATTCGGCAGAAAACATCTAACAATCGATAATGATGTGATGTATTACATTTTGAAAGAAGCGAACAGTTTGAAACCGGGAGAAGATAAAAAATCGTTCATGAGAATAGATCAAACTTTGGAGAACTCTAAGAATTTCAGAAGGATTTTCGACTGTTCGAATCTGTTCAGAGATCAGAGAGAGGAGATTACAAGTATCACGACAGACGGTGTATCGGTTTGTTTTCGCTTCACGTTAACTGTCAAAACAATCGATGGACTCGAACAGGAACCTTCATTGCGCACTACCAAATGGCTTGCCGATAGAAAAAGGGCTGAACGGAAATCGGCGAAGAAGATATCAATATCATACAAAGTATTACATGAAAATTCAGAATACCAAAGAGAGATCGAAGAATGTAAAAATTGCCCAAGGGTAATTGCGATCGACCCTGGGAGGAGCGTCATTATATCGGCCGTCGAACAATTCAGAGATGATCAACAAATAATCAGAAAAAGATTTCAGTTTTCGAGAAAACAATATTATCACGAGTCACATCTGAATCGCAATAAAAAGAAAAGAAAGACGTGGGATCAAGATATTCAATCGACATTGCACTATCTCAAGGGGTTCTCGAGTAAGTCTGGCGGCAGTCTATCAAGATTCGAAGACTATCTTCTTGCAGTTACAAGTCATTGGGAGGAGTTAACTTCGCATTATTCAAAGCGAAAATACGCCAGGATGAAATTCGACATCTACATTTCGAAACGAAAGTCAGTCGACAGGTTTATCCGTACAATGAAAGGAAAGGGAGAAATAGAACCTGTTATCGCATATGGAAATGCAAGGTTCCCGTCTACAGGACGTCGAGGAGAAAGGCCTGTACCGGTCAGGTGGATAAGAAGAAGATTCGAGAATCACTACAGAGTCGTAGATGTTGACGAATACCGTACTACCAAGTGCTGTAACGATTGTGGTTCTGAGCTCGATGTGCTTCGACGGATTGAAAATACAGGGAAAGAACCAGACGAGACCTGTAGGTTGAAAACAAGGAAAAGTGAAGTACGAGGATTGAAATTTTGCAGATCATCGAGGTAATGTCAAGTTTTGTATACTCCTGTAATTCACCTTTTCATCTAACTGTTATCGTGACAGCTGTAAAGGAAAGCCGATCAAATCCAGGGACTTGAATGCTGCACTGAATATACTCACTTGTTTCAATGTGTTTCCTGAAAGACCGAATCACCTACGTCGCCCCTGAGGTGAATTCAATGATTGTTGTCGCCCCCTCCCTACCCAGACTGCGTCCCTCGGGACTCGATGCCTAATTCCCTGCCTGCCTGCCTGCCTGCCCGGTGCCTGCCTCCATTATGATCCGATGTTTACGACATGTGATCATTGAAGTGACTGACTGGCATCATTTGGTAGGATTCATGTAAGGCTCCAACAACATCCGAAGACAATTTGGCAAAAAAAAAAAACTGCCGTTGTATGACGGAGAGTCGCGGCTCTCAATCATACGACGGCAGTTCTGTGCGAAAACTTAGTTCGTCGTTCAGAAGGGTATTCACATATTCCGTCACATCATGTCACATCATGAGGGAGAGTACCCGTGGTAGATAGATTCGTGGCGTTTATCTATTATTGTCTTCCCTAATCGCTGATTGTCCTCGTACTGATTTTTAACTTAACTTTGAGTAAAGAAAGGATCAGTATCTCCCTGCCTTGACGTATGGGTGTGTAGTCATTGAGCCTCTCGGGTCCGACGGTCAATTCCCGTAGTAGCCACCGGGCGCCGCGCGGCGGTCGGACGCCGGGCGGGGCCCCGCCGCGCGGCGGCCGGGCCGACTCCCGGTCACCGGGCCGCGGGTTCCATACTCCGAGGCAGGCTACAGTACGGTAGTACTGACGACCGATACGGTCGGACTCAAGCGCGGCCCGGCCGGCGCGAAACTGAGGCCTTTCCGAAGTTGGGCCATAATGATGATCGACGATCGTCACTGGCACCAAGATGGCCCGCCGTCCTGAAGAAGCACAAGTTTGTTAGACTTGTACTAGTCCAAAGTCACGCAGATATCACATCGACCTTAGTTGTAACAAGACAGTTTTTCCGAAGTTCAAGTTTGCTCAAGACCGAGTTTAATGCACACAAAACCAGAATTGAGGAGCACATGAGAGATAGACTGTATGCTAGGATGTGAAACCCAAGCATCCAGACATGAGAGGACCTTAGCAAGACGGCTAGGAAAGCCCCCTCTTCGTCCCACACGCTACATCGGCGGCGCCTTGACACGTAGTAAGTCGTCTTGGTTTACAGGAGAGTTTTTGTTAAGGCTCGGCGCTATCTGACTGGCACGGCTGGCATACGTTCCATCACGTCCCCGGTCTTGGCGGCGGCCAGCGGCTGCTGTGAGCGGCCCGCCGCCCGGCCGCCGGCGGCCGCCGGGCTGACCCGCGCCCGGGTTCAAACTTCGCGGCCGCCGGGCTCTCCCGTCACTGTCATGACCGTCCTTGCCTATCAGCGGCTTCCCTCCGGCCCCTGCTCCTTCCTACCCCCCCCGCCCTGAGCCAAGCCTCCCCGCCTGGGTCATAGTATCGGCACTCGACATTTATTATCTTCATCAATCTTCGTCTACTTTACACGCCGGTCCCTCCTTCAAACCGGTCCTTCAGTCCCACACTGACGACAGCCAGTCCTCCTCTTCCGTCCCCACGTCCCCGACGTCCAGCGAGATCTCCCCTCCTCCGAACAGCGCCTCCATCATCGTCTTGCTCGCCTCCGCCTTCTCCTCGCTCGGCCCGTCTATCCCCCACCACCCCTCCAGCTCCTCGCCTGGTCGCGCTTGGTCGCCCGAGGCGGGCGAGCTGGCGGGCTCGGGCTCCTGGGCCTCCGACGCCTGGTCGAGAGCCGCGCGGTCGACTGAGGTCTGAGCCTCCCCCGCGTCGTCGCTGCTGCTGCTGCTGCTGCTGCTGCTGCGATCCCGCGTGTAGGGCCATCGATCCAGCCCCAGCCTCCGGCAGGCCGTCTTGAGGGAGGTGAGGGAGATGCCGAGGTGATGGGCCGCCTCTTGCTGGCGGAGGTGGAAGGGCTGCGAGAGAAGGAGGCGGCTGAGCTGCACGGTCTCGCGCTTGTTGGAGTGACGAGGGCGAGCCTGGACGGCGATACGCTGGAGGATGGTTGGGGAGGAAGGGGAGGAGGGGGAGGAAGGAGACGGAAGAGGGTGAGGGGGAAGGAGGGAGGGGCAGGAGAGGGGAGGAGAGGAGAGATGACAAAAGGCAGGGAGCTAGCACTGCCCCTTTTAAAAGCTTCTGGCATGTTTCCCCCAATCACGGTCAGCTCTATAGCCCGTCACGTTACCTGCGCATCATGTTCTATAGCCGGCCAGACAGCCCAGTGCTGCCCCACATACGAGTGCGGGATTGAGATAGGAGGAGACTATCTTCCTCTTGCTGCCCCCGGGTGGCGTGACCAGGGCTCCGGTCCGTGGGGTTGACGTGCTGTGCCTCGAAGGCTGTTCCGTGACCGTACGGTTTTCTTTTGCTCGAGTCATCCGAGCGACTCCCTAGTCCGGGAGCCGGCCGGGGCACTGCGCCGGGCTCTCGGGCTCAAGGTATCTCTCCGAAACGGGCCAGCCCAGCTCGGAGTTGAACTTTGGACGCCGCTGTGATCATCGGATCGTCGGATCAACGTGACTCCGATGGCCGCCGCGCTTGACGGATCAACGTTCGCACGGCGCCGCCGCGCGGCAATCGGCAAGCATCCGAGCGCCGGATGTCAGCGGTCCGATCACGAGTCTCAGTCTTCAACTAGTATTCATGCCAGTGTCTCAGTCTTCAACTAGTATTCATGTCTGGGAGGTCTCAGGAGTTTAACATAACATTAAAAGCCACACCACAACTGCGAAGGAGAGAATGCCGGGACTCGTGACAAGCGGTAGACGTAAGATCTAGTTCAGTGCTAGCGGCGATTTCGTGGAACCATTGAATAATGCTAGGGCTGATCGGACAGGGGAATCCAGTGAAGCCCCGGGCCGGCTCCGAGTCCCATCGGACGACAAGCCTGTTGACCTACAACTACATCCGCTGCATATGAAATAGATCGTTGAAAAAAGAAGGCTGAGGTCTACAATCAACTGCCCTGACATGAAAGATGCCCTCCTCCTGCCTGTCCCTGCTCCAGCCTCCCCGCCTGGGTCATAGTACCGGCACTCGACATTTATTATCTTCATCAATCTTCGTCTACTTTACACGTCCCTCCTTCAAACCGGTCCTTCAGTCCCACACTGACGACAGCCAGTCCTCCTCTTCCATCCCCACGTCCCCGACGTCCAGCGAGATCTCCCCTCCTCCGAACAGCGCCTCCATCATCGTCTTGCTCGCCTCCGCCTTCTCCTCGCTCGGCCCGTCTATCCCCCACCACCCCTCCAGCTCCTCGCCTGGTCGCGCTTGGTCGCCCGAGGCGGGCGAGCTGGCGGGCTCGGGCTCCTGGGCCTCCGACGCCTGGTCGAGAGCCGCGCGGTCGACTGAGGTCTGAGCCTCCCCCGCGTCGTCGCTGCTGCTGCTGCTGCTGCTGCTGCTGCGATCCCGCGTGTAGGGCCATCGATCCAGCCCCAGCCTCCGGCAGGCCGTCTTGAGGGAGGTGAGGGAGATGCCGAGGTGATGGGCCGCCTCTTGCTGGCGGAGGTGGAAGAGCTGCGAGAGAAGGAGGCGGCTGAGCTGCACGGTCTCGCGCTTGTTGGAGTGACGAGGGCGAGCCTGGACGGCGATACGCTGGAGGATGGTTGGGGAGGAAGGGGAGGAGGGGAAGGAGGGAGAGGAGGAGGAGCAGGTAGAGTCAGACCAAGGCGAAGACGGAAGAGGGTGAGGGGGAAGGAGGGAGGGGCAGGAGAGGGAAGGAGAGGGGAGATGACAAAAGGCAGGGAGGGCGTGATGGGCGAGCATGATGCTTGGACAGAGGCGAGCCGCGGAGTGTGTGGCAGGTGTAGGAGGATGGAGAAGTGTAGAGTAGCACTGCCCCTTTTAAAAGCTTCTGGCATGTTTCCCCCAATGTCAGCTCTATAGCCCGTCACGTTACCTGCGCATCATGTTCTATAGCCGGCCAGACGGCCCAGTGCTGCCCCACATACGAGTGCGGGATTGAGATAGGAGGAGACTATCTTCCTCTTGCTGCCCCCGGGTGGCATGACCAGGGCTCCGGTCCGTGGGGTTGACGTGCTGTGCCTCGAAGGCTGTTCCGTGACGGTTTTCTGTTGCTCATCCGACTCCCTAGTCCGGGAGCCACTGCTGCGCCCGGGCCGGGCTCTCGGGCTCAAGGTATCCGAAAAACCAGCTCAGCTCGGAGTTGAACTTTGGACGCTGATCGTTGGATCAACTTGTGACTCCGATGGCTGCTGCGCGCTTGACGGACTCCTTGTCTGAACGTTCGTCGGCGGCGCCGCCGCAATCGGCGCCGAGCATCCGATGCGAGCGATCGATGTCAGCGGTCAGATCACGAGTCTCAGTCTTCAACTAGTATTCATACATCAACATTAAAAGCCACACCACACTGCGAAGAAGAGAATGCCGGGACTCATGACAAGCGGAACAACGGTAGACGTAAGATCTAGTTGCTAGCGGCGATTTCGTTGAATAATCATGCGGCTAGCGGCTGATCGGACAGGGGAATCCAGTGAAGCCCCGGGCCGGCTCCGAGTCCCATCGGACGACAAGCTGTTGACCTACAACTACATCCGCTGCATATGAAATAGATCGTTGAAAAAAGAAGGCTGAGGTCTACAATCAACTGCCCTGACATGAAAGATGCCCTCCTCCTGCCTGTCCCTGCTCCAGCCTCCCCGCCTGGGTCATAGTATCGGCACTCGACATTTATTATCTTCATCAATCTTCGTCTACTTTACACGCCGGTCCCTCCTTCAAACCGGTCCTTCAGTCCCACACTGACGACAGCCAGTCCTCCTCTTCCGTCCCCACGTCCCCGACGTCCAGCGAGATCTCCCCTCCTCCGAACAGCGCCTCCATCATCGTCTCGCCTGGTCGCGCTTGGTCGCCCGAGGCGGGCGAGCTGGCGGGCTCGGGCTCCTGGGCCTCCGACGCCTGGTCGAGAGCCGCGCGGTCGACTGAGGTCTGGGCCTCCCCCGCGTCGTCGCTGCTGCTGCTGCTGCTGCTGCTGCTGCTGCGATCCCGCGTGTAGGGCCATCGATCCAGCCCCAGCCTCCGGCAGGCCGTCTTGAGGGAGGTGAGGGAGATGCCGAGGTGATGGGCCGCCTCTTGCTGGCGGAGGTGGAAGAGCTGCGAGAGAAGGAGGCGGCTGAGCTGCACGGTCTCGCGCTTGTTGGAGTGACGGGGGCGAGCCTGGACGGCGATACGCTGGAGGATGGTTGGGGAGGAAGGGGAGGAGGGGAAGGAAGGAGAGGAGGAGGATGAATCTGTATCAGAGAGGATCAAGATTGCCATGGTTGTATCGAAAGGTTGAACGGAACGTGGCGAGAGCAGCAGGGCAAAGGAATGCGGAGCAGGAGCGGAATGGCTTGTTAAATACAAGAGCTGAATGGAGGAATATCTTGAGGGCCGCACCTCCCACCCCCTACCCCCACTGATATATGGAATAACTACCCGTTTATTCTTAAGACTTTTTGCGTCTAGCCGGCTACAGAATGAAATCACTTGTTTTCGCTGTTTTTAATTTTTCAGTCAATGTCAGCGAATGGCATCCGTGAACAGAGTGGCACGTCAACACAGTTCTGGTACTAGAATTTACTCAACTTTTTGGGCCGTCATGCCCCCCCCACCCCATCGGTGCCGACGGAGAGCTCGAAACTCCGAGGCTCAAAACTTTGGTTCGAAAGTTTCAAAGTCTGCCACAAACTTTCAAGTTACTGGGAGTCACTTCAGTGTTCTACTCGGAGCCCTGTCGGAGTTTCTCTCAGCGGCCCCGGAGGCTGATGTTCTCGCCGAGCCCGCTCCGGTTTCTCACTAGCAAAACTTTTTAACTTAACTTTGAGTAAAGATAGAGCCGGACCGGGTTGAGTTAAGTAAAACATCAGTACCAGGACAAGCGGGAGAGTAGGAGGGGGGGAGCGGGGGGACAAATAAGAAGCACATCGTGCACGTGCAGTATTTGTTCAGCACAGTGCGACCGAGGACGGGCGGCAAAGAGCTTCGGCAGGGTCAGTTTGTCAGCCAAGGTAATCAGCAGTCGACATGAAGGATAGCACAAAGATATCAGCATGTTGTGGAATGACGAAATGTGGATTCCCCTTCGTGAAATCGTATGATCGATCTTCCACATCCGTTACAATTTTCTCTCTGACTGCAACTGATATGTTCCTCTCCCTGGGCCCCTTGCAGTTTCTTTATGTGACTTTTCTTTTTGAGCAGATTTGATCTCAGCTGAACACCAGCATCAATCCCATGAGCCTGGATAGATGATGATCGGTACTGGGGTAAGTACTCACCCTAGCACCCCACATGCACCAGTGTTGGCCTGTTCAATGAGGAATCAAACAAATTCACAGACCTGTTCCGACTATTTCATGAGGATTAGATTGTTTCGATGATTCTCTGAGGACATTCTCACTGCTTGCAAACTAAGTGAACTTTGTTGGCCTTCCTTCACACTTTTGTTTCGCAGGTCAGAACCAACTGAGAGGGACCCCCGCAAAGATTCGTGAAACTCTTTCTGTATGATACACCCCATGTAGAAATATTCGCTCTTTATTGTTTACTGTACATGTAGAAATGTTCGCTTTTATTGCTTAATTTAGATGTAGAAATATTCGTTCTTAATTGTTTCTTGTCTATACATCACAGATGTCATCAAAGATCAAGTGATCCTCTCGTGTCCTGGTTGACATACGTACCGGGAATGTACCTCCCACTCGAGTCCTATCGCTTCATGAGCTTGATGAGCCTTTGCATTCCGAACCTTGCAAGAGGGTGCGAAACCATCCTGTCACAAAGTTCTGAAACTGAGGACTCCAAGGGACGATTTTTAGACCTGACTTGACCATCCATAATCACTCTCATCTCCCCACAATCTGCGCACAAGCATTCTGTCATACAAAGGGAGATTAAGACCAAGGCCATCAGGAGGAGAAGGGCAAAAGGGTAGCGGCAAGAGCAATGAAAACGACAAACGATATTTCATACCATCATGTGTGAACAACTTGTTGGAGATAAGCTCTCTTGGTGAAGGCAGAGCCCTGCGGCGTTGTCATCGCTGTCCGCAACACACTCAAGAAAGAAGACTTGATGTTCTTGGGTTGCAGTGATCGATCTCTCTTGAGAGCAGGGGGTGCTTGACGCATGCGTTTCAGCAGAGAGACGACATATTGGCCGATCCCCAGTGAAGCGCTAACACCGGTGGAACGAATTCCAGCGACCGTGATCCAGTTTTCATCTGCAAGCATTTAAAAACCCTCTGATGATCAGCGAAAACACCTTCACTGCCTTTGATCTGATAGTCTCGAAACTCGGTCGCAGGTCTGAGACCTGTCAAGTCTCGTCATCAGATATTTCATCTGCATCGTCGTGAAAGGTACCAGCGTAACTTCCAGCCACATCCATGTCTTGTAGTGATGGCACAAGTTGACGTGCATACTTCACCAGGTTGGCAATCGTCGTCGAGCAAGTAGTTGGCTCGTCTCTCTCGCTGAATCATCATTACGACCATAAAGAACAAGATGAATGCTTACTCTACATCCTCGGCCGTTGGTCCACAGACAATGTTGCCATAGCTGCAAAGATTTCGCTTCACGCGAAATTTTTTTCTTGATATCAAATGATTACACTGATTGAAATATGTAGACACCCTTGGTTTCAGAGGAAGGAATCTGAAGAGTAGAGAGGAATGAGCCTCCGAACGAGCAGAGCCGATACTCACAGGCTGAAGCGGAGGAAGAAAGCTTACATCTTCACCATCATGACCTGCAAATACAGCATACTGTCGATCCACAACTTCAGTTGCATTCAGCTGCATAGAGTCTGCTTGACCTGACCTCGACGAGGTCGGATTGTAAATGGAACTTGTGAACCTTGTGGGTATCGCAGTGTCTCGACCTGTCGGAGAAATTTCGTTATTCCAGTGGTGAAACGTAAAAAAAGACTTTGACACCTTGTCAGCAAAATTTCCAGCTGCATTGATGACGAATTTTGTTCGAAAAGTTTGATTTCGATCCGTCAAAAGCTCCCTATTTCGCAATTCTCATCACGTTTCCAATCCAGAAACCGTCCGAAAGGACAAGTCGATACCAGCCAACTACCTTCGAATCTTGATCTTTTATTCTGCATACTTTCGAAATCCTTGCATTTTGCACAATTTCAGCTCCGTGCTGCAAAGCTGAGTTTGCAAGCGAAAGGACGTAAAACCAGGAGTCTAAAACTGTTTCTCCTGGCACCAACAGCGCCCCCTTGCAGTTGATGCGGTCATTCGAGCAAGGCAAACCGAAAGCAAACCTTCGCTCCGCGTCTTATCCGACTCTCTCTCTCATATAGCTCTTCAGCAGACAAGATCCTGGCGCCAGTGTCTCCGATGTCCAGGTTGTCTTGAAGCAACTTCGGGAGGAGCTCCCTTTCTTCGTCCTTCCACGCTATTACCATAGCACCTGATCTCACCTGTAGAGCAGACATCACCGACTGTCTCCCCTACTTTTCTGGCCATCTTACAGCTGGACAACACATTTGGTCTACGACTTCATGCATCTCGCTCATGGACAATGACAGGCAGTGTCTCTCCAAACTGATCAATTCTCACAATCCCATCCTCGCAACTGCACTCGAAGGTAACTTCACCTTCCCTCAGGAGCATCATATCCTGAATGTTCCGCATGTTGATCAGAGGGAGTAGATCAACAGCTTACCGACTTGCCTGTACACAAGATTCCTGAGTTGCCGGAGCTTGCTCCCATGCAGATATCCTCCTGAACGCAATGAGACGAGATTGGAGAAGCAAATGGTATAGACTTTTGCTTCAAGGCAAATCACTTTTAATCCGTCGTAGCGACAAGTCAGTTCACGAAGAATTGCCATCCCAACAACCTGAAACAGACTTCATTCATTCTAATCTTCCATTTCCCTTCATTCCTTCCCCCCTGAGTTTTAGCATCGAATGTATTCTTTCCTGTTCTCCATCTGACCTGTCCCTCCATCCTTCCTTCCCCTCTCCTTTCTCTGTGCATCTGTCCTCTCCTCCCTGTTGCTGCCCTGCTCCTCTCCCTCCGCTCTCCTCCCCTCCTCTCCCTCCCCTCTCCTCCCCTCCTCCCTCCTCTCACCCCTCCTCCAATGATCGTCACGTCGCAATCCGCCATGGAACCTGCCGCAAACTCGCTTGTTCCAGACAAAAAATCGTTCTAAAGTTGATCCAGATTTTGTTCCAGATTCTCGCCAGTGGGCCCGGGGCCGCGTGACTGACCGTCGTACCAGGGAGGCCCGGCGGCGATCGGACCGGGCAGTTGCTCTGACCGGACTTGAATCGGAACCCGGGCATCGGCCCAGTGACTCCCAGTGACGGTGACTGAGCCCGGGCCCGGGGGCGGGGGGTGGGGGGGAAGACAACTGGCAATCCTTACTTTGTTAAGCAACAGCACATCAATTCATTCAGAGACTGTCTGGTTGACGTCAACTGGATCACTGCTGAATGACCCTGCGGAGTCTTCTATCATCGAAGAATGAATATTCTCACATAATGGGTCATCGTCGTCGTCGAGCTGAGAATCCAACTTTCGACATTCAGACCTCGGGATTTTCATTTTGCGAAGGAATTTTGGAATGTAGTCAAGAGTATCCTGCAAGAAAGTAGGTGATTTTACAGTGATTGCAACAAAGCAGGATGACCCTGGTAACGTTGGTGTAGTTGCTGAAATCCATTGGTTGTCCTCGCTGGACCCTGTAAAGTAGAAGTATATAGCTGATTAGCATCTCCAACACATTCAAAGGTAGCAATCATTTCTGAAGTTGAAGATCCAAACACAACACAGGGAGTGTTTCCTTACATATCGTGCGCCTTCATTGCCCATTCCGTCATTGAGTCTGAGAAATTTGAAGAAGCAAGGTCTTCAGGACTCTCTCAGAAGAACTTCGATACAACCTACGGAGCTTGAACTTTCAGGCTTTCTAATCTGAGACAGTCCAGCCCGCTTCAATACCTGTCAAGAAGGTAAAGAGGTCGAAGACACGGAGCAGAGCAGAGGACCTCGTTCTGTTCTTTCCGCACTCTCTCTATCTCATCAAAATCTGCGGGACTCACTCCAAAATAGCTCACCTGCCATATTGTAAGTCAACAGTGATGCCTCCTGTAGCAATCGACGCTCACCGCATACGCATTGCTCTCGCTTTGCTTGGCATACTCTAGAGCCTTGCGCTTTCTTTCCAAGTAGTGCTTTCCTTCCGGTGTGTCATACCTGATTCATGTCAGAGTTGCAGATTCCTCTTGCACTTACCATTTCCGTCCATAGACATCCGATAAATCTGCACTCAGGATACCACCTGCATGCAAGCTCTGTCATTTGACGTAGATCGAGGAGCAACTTTGTCGTGCCTTTGTCATTGTCACCAAACAGATATTCCAAGTAGCTCATCAGATTCATGTCTTCCGCTCTTTGTGACTCCTGCCACCAAGACTGCACGTCAGGATAGCAACTTGTGCGCAAGATTCTCATTGCCTTGGTTTGTATCTTCTGTTCTCTCTTGGTTCCATGCTGAAGTTTCTTCAGCGTAAAGGTTCTGTTCACACTGTATTTGCCATAATATCGCGATTGTGTGTGTTTCCTCTTAGATCGCTCACTCCGTCGATCGAACAGCAAATCCAACACCCGCCACCTGTTCACACCTCACTGAACCAGCTCTGATCATGCGGGAGGTACCATGCCGCTGTCTCTTCGTTGGGCAAGTCCTTGTACTTTCCTGTGAGCAGAGTGGACCTTGAATCGCTATTCGACTTCTTAAAGACGGATGATGAAGCCTGCTCTACTCTGCCTGATTTCTTTTTCGAACCTCCTCCACGAAGGCGATGGCAACAGACCGTCTGTGAAGCGCTCGCTGGCACGACGTTGGCTGGAAGAAACAAGAGGAAGAGACAGAGGAAGAAGACAAGCACGCGGCAGGGCGAGAGAGGAGAAGAGTTTGGATTTCTAGGAGTTACAGCAACAGCGCGTGACAAATCTTTAGGAGTCAAAACGATGTTCATCGGAGCGTGAGAGCTATGAAGCGAGCAGATGAGAAAGAAGCAGGACAAGGGTAGGATGAGGATGAGGGAGAAATGAGGGAGGGGGTGAGGTTGAGAGCGATGGGGAGGAGGGAGAGGAGGGAGAGGGAGAGGAGGACGACAAGGAGGAGGAGGAGAAGAAGAAGAAGAAGGAGGAGGAGAAGAAGGAAGAAGAGGAGGAGGTGGTGGTGGTGGGGAGCTGGATCATCGCCATTCAATCCGTCCCATCACCACCATGTTCAGTGTTAGTGTGTCGGGGAGCAAACTTTGAAACTTTCAAGGTCAAATCTTTGAGGGCAAATTGTATTATTAGAAAATTATGGGGAAGTGAAAACTTTGAAGGCCATGGGGCGGCATGGATACGGCGAGGATGGCATGTAAGAATGTCCTTGATCCGGCCTACCCTTCCTCCTCCTCCTCCTCCTCCTCCTCCTCCTCCTCCTCCTCCACAACCACCACCACCACCTCCTCCTCCCCGCCTACTTTTCCCTCCTCTCTGTCTCCTTTCCAGTGTCCTCGACAAACCTGTACTTGTCCTCCCCCCTGCCCACCCTTAGTCCTTGTCTGGTGCTCGTCGTTCCATGCTTCCTTGGTATCCTTCCGCTGTCGTAACGTGCATTTCTGTGTTCTCTGCATTATGACCGTCATACCCAGCTATCCTGCTGCCCGATCATTTATCATTCACGCTAGCTATGCGCTAATGATCTTTCCTTGCTGCAGCAACAGGCAGGACAAGTCCATCTCCGGCATAGGAGGGCGGGGAGGAGCACCGCAGTTCACAGCATACGTCCCCAAGTTCTTGAGGGAGCTCGGGGGAAGCAGTGCCCCTGAAGGATCCATCGCAGGGAGGAAGCGCTCGCAGCAGGCAAAATTCGGTCCAGTGGACCAGGAGGAGGAGAGCGAGGAAGAGCGGGACTATGATGGCCTTGCATCTAAGATTCAACAGGATGGAGGAAGCATCGTGCTTCCCGAGGAGCTGGGCAGGAATGCGCGAACGATCAAACGAACCAAACGAGCTGGGGACAAGGAGGCAGCGGTGACTGAGGAGAAGAAGGATGAGGGGAAAGCCAAGGAGGAAGAGGAGGAAGAGAAGATCGAGTACGACGAGCACGGCAACCCTAAGATAAAGTTCAAGAAGAGGGAGAAAGAGGCAAAACCACCCACCAAGAGCAAAGGAAAAGGTGTTAAGAATGTCAAACTCCTGTCTTTCGACGACGAAGAAGGTGAATGAGGGGCGATGAAGCGGATGAGGAGGGATGGGAGACGGTCGAAGGAGGAAGAACCATCGTGTAAGTCGAGTTCACTGTCAGTACAGTATTGCTAAGATTTTGTGACGTCCTCAACCTCGATGCCAGAAATGGTTCCAGTCCCTGCTGGGAGTGAAGTGAGGGAGAGGAGGAGGCTTGCTCTTGCCCGGGGTCGCCGTTGCCATCTTCTGCGGGCGGAGAGGTCAGGGGAAGATCTAGCAGCAGCAAGTTTCACCGTGAGCGCCTCATGCATCCTCTTGTATGGCCCGCGACCTGAGGAAGAGACTGAGCAGAGAAGTTCCAAGGAGAGGGAGGGAGGAGGGCGGAGAGAGAAGGGGAGAGGGAGGAGCCGGGGGAGGAGGGAGGATAGACCTGTATCTCGTCGCAGGGCATCTTCTAGACCGCGAGGAAGGTTTGCATTCTAGACATACTCGTCAGCCGATCGCGACGGCTCACAAGGACAGACCTGAGTGTCTCCTCCGCTGCTTCGCTCCCTCCTGTCCCCCTCTTGCGAGGAGATCCTCTCACGCCTTTCATCCCCCCGGTCTCCCCTCCCCATGTCACTTCCTCCCTCCTCCGCCTCCCTCCTCGTCCGCCATCGCCCTGCAGGAGCCTCTTCTTCATCATCTCTCTCTCTCCTGCTAGTCATTCTGTCGTCCCTTCCTCCCGCTCCTCCCTCGCTCCCTCGCTCTCCCTCGCCGTCCCTCCTATCTTCCCTTCCTCGCCCGCCAGCCCCTTTGAAGTTCACGTCCTCGTTCTGCAGCATCACGTCAGCAAGAGGAAGCCGAGAGGGCAAGGCTCCTCGCCTCATAGCCGGATCGATACGCCTCTGCCAGCGCTTTCTTGAAGTTCTCCTGCTTGCACGTGAGGATCGTGGAGGAAGGAGGTGCGGGAGGAGGAATGCAGTCAGAGAAGGAGAACAAAGTGCAGAGACGAGAGGAAAGGTGGAGAGACAGGGGCGAGGGGAACAGGGCGGAGGAAAAGTAGGAAGGAGGAGGAGGAGGAGGAGGTCCAGGAGGACGGAGGAGGCGGGAAGGGAAGCAAGAAGGAGGAGTGGGCTACTTCTCTTGTACTGTAATGTCCATCCTCCTTCAGTCTGTGATCGAGAGGCCCTCCAGCCGCTCGCTCCTTCACGACCTTCATCACCAAGTCAATAAGAGGGCGGCACAAGGAGGAGCAGGAGAAGGAGCAGAAGAAGGTGGAGCAGGAGAAGGTGGAGGAGGGAGGGGGGGGGGGGGAAGGTATCATCACCAGATGGCCATTCTCGGCCTCTCCGACCCTATCGCTTCCTCCTCCCCTCCTCTACCTCAAGGACTTGGTGGTGGATTTTTGTCGCCTCATCCTTCAGCTTTCCTATCTGCAAAGGGTACCATGTCAGTCGTTCCCCTTGCCCCCCGTCTCCTCCACCACCTTCTCGTCCACTTCAGGAGCTTCGTCGTTTTCCTGCGACAGGATTTACATCACAACGGGAAAAATTCACTTTCACCTCCTCTTCTCTTCCCCCTCCAGCCTTGCGTTTCAGATCTTCAAACGCCCTCTTTGCATCTCTGACCGCGTTCTCCTGAATCACGAGGTTCAGCAACGGAACACAACTCCAAGAACAACAAGTTGAATGCAACAAGTCAACAGCACAGAGTCTTTGTCGCCAGCTTCACATGTCCCATCACAGAGTTCTCACCTTCATCTTCACGTTGTTGATCCCGTCGTTGACCGTCGCCTCAGCCTCCCTCTCCTCTCCGATGTCACGATTGAGCTGATCCTCCGCCTGCCCCGTATTTCTCAGCTCCTCCCTCCCTCTCTCAGTCCCTCCATGTTCCCTCTCCTCTTCCCCCTCCTCCCCTCCCCTCCCCTCCTGTGACCTTCTTGGCCAATCGAGCCTTGGCAGCTGCCAGCGCCGCCAGCCTGAGGGACATCAAAGGGACATTAAAGGACGAGAGCAAAGCCTCCTCCTCACTTTTGTGCCTCCTTGGCCGCCTCTTTGGCTGCCTTCTTCGCGTACACCTTCAGGAAGAGCTTTCAGGGATGACAGTGACAGCTGGGCGAGGAGAGGAGGAGGGAGGACGAAGGGAGGACGAAGGGAGCCAGCGAGGGAGGGAGCGATGGAGGAGGGAACATAGAGCAGGAGAATCATGGTCCACACAGATTTGACGGGAAAAGGGAAAGATGTTTGGAGTGTAAATACAGGGGGGAGGAAAGGGCTGAGGGAAGGAGCAAGCGCAATGGAGGGAAAAGAAAACTCACCTTCTGCCTGGAAGCATCCTGCTCTTTGGTGTATAACATCTTTGTCTTCTCTTCAAGGATCGAGATCAACCTGGTAAGAATTGAGCGATCATGTTCCCTCTCAACATCTCTCATCGTCACTTCTTCCGGATCATATGAGCTTCTCTCTCCTTCTCCTCCGCAACTTTGTCCAGTCGGAAAGCTTCCTCCGACTGCCCGAGCCCGTCAAGATGGAGAGAGGAAGGGAGCAAGGGGAACCTTTCTCTTCGAGTCCTGCATCTTGTTTCTCGCAACCAGCTTCAGCTTGTCAGCTTCATCTTCAGCATTCTGCACGTGGAGGTTCAGCAAGGGAGCTGACACGAGCAGTCATGTTCTCACTCGCGCAGACTTGAAGAGCTCTGGTATCTTCGCTGCCTCTTTCGCCGCTGCTGCCTTCACTAGCACGATCTTCTGCTCCTCCTCCTGCGCCTTCTCGTTGAAGGTTCCCTGCGCTCTGCCATGATGGAACGTCGCAGGGGTCGGAGGGTCAGACTCACTGCTTCGCTCTCCAGGTTCATGATGTCTTCCTTCGCCTTGTCGGCCTTGGCGCTGTCGTTGTCGCTGGTGGAGCTCGAAGTCTGAGGAGGAGTCAGGTGCCAGTAGCAAGCTCTCCCCCCTACCTTCTCCTCCTCCTTGATATGTTTCAGCTCCTTCTGAGCGTCCTGCACTGCCTTGTCTGCCTTGTCGAGATCCTCCTGCCGCCTCCCCAAGATCGCCTTCTTCTTCAGCAGCTCCGCCTTCGTCTGATCCTCCCGCGCCGAGCTCGACAGCTTCACGGCATTCACCTTGTGCGAGAGCGCATGCATCTTTCGCTTCGCCGCGTCCACGAGCTGCCGCTCGGCCTCCTTCTGCATGTCTTGCATGGACGAATCCGACCCGACGCTGCTTGACTGTAGCTCCACTTGGAGGTTCTCAGAGCCATGGTCGTGGAGGACAAGCATCGCAACGATGATCATAGAAAGGCAGGAGAACGCGGCAACATGCGCTGCCGACCTCGAACCAACTTGTTGAAAAGCGTGAGACGAATGAGTTTGCATATTGAGAGTGATCAGAATCACCTCTAGTTGACATGATGTTTTCTTGAGCCAGCGGGTGTGTCTGATCAGAAGGCAAAGAGATTCGAGCGATAAGACATCTGTCTCCAAAGTCACTGACTGATCGGTCACTCCGATGACAAATTCGTCCTTGATTGATCACATGCCACGATCACCTTGTTCATACTCATTTGCTCTCTCACGCATATGTTTTCTCTTTCCTTTCTATTTCTGCCTTCAGTCGTGCTCTGCTCGCCAGTGTGATTTCTTCCCTTCCTTTCCCTCCTTTCCCTCTCTCCCTCCCTCCCTCCCACTTCTATCTTTCGCTCTTCTCCCTTGCTCTTCTCTCTCCTGTCCTCTCCTTCCTGTCCTCTCCTGTCCTCTCCTGTCCTCTCCTGTCCTCTCCTGTCCTCTCCTGTCCTCTCCTGTCCTCTCCTCTTCTTCTCCTGCCTTCGTCCTGATCCTTGTCCTGACCGTCGTCCAGATCATCGTCATCATCCAGATGGGCATGAGCGGGGAAGAGGTTTTCAGTGGATGAGCGGGGATGTGGTCATAGCTCTGAAAGCGGCAAATTCTTAGGTGCATGCAGGGGGAGAGGGAGAGGAGGAGGAGGAGGAGGGGGAGGAGGAGGGGGAGGAGGAGGGGGAGGAGGGGAAGAAGGATAGAAGTAGTTGGAAGGGCAAGAAGATGTTGAGCCAGGAATAGAGACGAGAAAGGGCCTCTGAGAGGAGTCTGTGGTTTGCGCTTGTGAGTGCTGGAACGTTACGGTTATTCTTGAGTGTGCAAAGCGTGAAGAAGGCAGCGATATGGAGTGTGTTTGTCTGATGGACGATTCTTTCATTAGATTATGCATGGTTTCGTTCCAGTGTATTCCACTCGATTCCCTAACGCACATTCATCCAGAAACTGTCTTGTGTACCTGCCATGGTAAAGATCAGTTCGTATTCCTACTCCTGGACGGGCTCAAATGTGGTGATGAAACGTTTCGCGTTCAAACCCAATGATCAACTAACGAGCAATGAGCAGAGCCCCGATGTGACAGCAAAAGAAGAAGCGCCTGACAAGTTGGAACCGAAGCTGGAGAAGCTTCATGGCACCATGTTGCAAGAATTTCTGATTCTTCAGGCGAAACGAGCGCAAGCAGAGACGGAGCAGGTGAAACGAGCGCTGGCCGTAGCAGAGAAGGACAGGAACAGGCTCTATCAAGAGAACAACGAGTTGCTTGTGCAGCTTGAGAGTACAAGGGAAGAGCTCGGTGATCTGCAACAGAAGTATTCAAACCTGAGAGAGTGGGCGGCGATCATGTATGCAAACCTGCTCAAAGAGGAAGTAGAGGACGCGAGACAGTCTCGTGAGTTCTCTTGCTCCTGCTCTCCCATGTCCCTGACAACCAGTCGCAGACGTCAGCGAGGACACGCTAGAGCGGACGAGGCAGTGGGTCATAAGCAGCAGTCAGGCGCAGTTGGAGGAGGAGGAGCGTGCGAGAGGACTATGGGAAGGAACTTCACGGGCATCACTTGTCGAGGAGCTGCTGTCTCTCCCTGCAGACTCGTCAGCGGCATCGCAAGGGGAGGAGGAGGAGGAGGAGGAAGAGGAAGTGAAGACGTGGGGGGTCAGGGGAGCGAGCTCTGTGTGGGATGTAGAGTGTGTACAGGACGCGGCTCATCGCGTCGCGTCCAACGACGCGGACGGGCTGGCATGCCAGGGAGATGGGAGGAAGCCATACAGGGAGGAGGTGACGAGTCACTCGCAGCAGGAGAAGTGGAAGGCAAGGAAGGAGACTGGCTCTAGCCTCACTGCCCCGACGCTGCTGCGAAGCTTGATGGAACGTCAGTTCATCCCTAAACCTCGAGGAGAAACTTCCATGGATGCGATCGGATACTTTTAGTGAAGCTCCTCCTCTATCTCTGCTCTCTCCTCCGTCTCCTTCTCTACTTGGCCTTCCCCTTTCGCCCGACAGTCCTGCGGAATCTGATCAGAAGAAGCATGCAAGGAGAGGAGAGGAGAGGAAGAAGGTGAAGGAGGACGGGAGAGGAAGAAGGAAGAGAGGAGAAGAGTAGGGGGAGGTAGTTGTACATGTTCAAACTGCGCAGCCACATCTCGTAGTTGGGGAAAGTCATCAGGCTGTTCTCATCATGCATGATTTGCGTGTAGCCGTAGAGAGAGTCGGACAACTTCCAGTCCTACGGGCAAGTTAAGTTCCTTCTTCTCCTGCTACAACTTTACAGTTCCTTCTTCTCCTGCTACAACTGTACTCCCTTATCAATCCCTCTCTTGTTCCCTCTCCTGACCAACCTCACCTTCACAATCTCCAAATTCCTCTCCCTCCCTCTCCATCATTGTATCAGTGTCATCATCTGCTGCTCCTGCTCCTGCTCCTGCTCCTACTCCTACTCCTGCTCCTGCTCCTGCTCCTGCTCCTGCTCCTGCTCCTGCTCCTGCTCCTGCTCCTGCTCCTGCTCCTGCTCATCGATTGTTCGTGTTCAAACCTTGATCCTCTCCATCTCATTCACTTCGTCGTTGTACAAGATGCGCATCTTCCATTCAGTCAGCGCTCGCAACAATACCTCCGCCTGCTCCCACCTGCCGCTCGGGATCGATATGGCCGTAAAGCAGGTACTCGTCGTCCTTCTCGAGACGAAATCGGACGCGCTAGGCAGGGGAAAACCAGGTGAATGAAAGAAAGAGAGGAGAAGGAGTTGGTGGCAGTAGGGGGAGCAGGAGCAGGAGCAGGTGGAGCAGGTGGAGCGGGAGCGGAAGGGGGAGGGGGAGAACGAGGAGGATTAAGAGCAGTAGGAGGAAGAGAAGGACAAGGACAAGGAGGAGCAGGAGCAGGAGCAGGAGCAGGAGCAGGTGGTGGGTGGAGAAGGAGGAGGAAGAGGAGGACGATGACGACGACGACGAGGAGGAGGAGGAGGAGGGGGACGAGGAGGAGGAGAACGAGGAGGAGGAAGAGGAGAACGAGGAGGAGGAGGAGGAGGAGGAAGACGAGGACGAGGACGAGGAGGAGAACGAGGAGGAGGAGGAGGAGGAGGAGGAGGAGGACGAGGAGGAGGACGAGGAGGACGAGGACGAGGACGAGGAGGGGAAGGAGGACGAGGAGGAGAACGAGGAGGAGGAGCAATACCCTGAAGAGTTTCTCGATGTCGTACATGGAAGTTTGCTCATTGGGGTCTCCAGCTGAGATGTAAAGGAAGTGTTTGCTTCCACTCTGCTCCCACTGCGTCAGAAAACTTGCGATCCCACTTGTTGTGCAGCTCACTTTCCCCCTCAGACAGTCAGGAGAATAGTAAGAATCGTCCAACTCCTTCCACTCATAGTTGGTGATCTGTACAGGAAAGAATCATCGGACAAGAGAAAACGTTTCGCCGCAAAGTCTCACCCTGTCCTTCTCTCGGACAGCTTTCCTCATCGAGAGAGCAGAACGAAAATGGCTCACGTCACACACAAACTTCTCCCTCCTCCTCCTCCTCCTCCTCCTCCTCCTCCTCCTCCTCCTCCTCCTCCTCCTCCTCCTCCTCCTCCTCCTCCACCTGTCACGAAATTCTCCGAGGCCTGCGCAAGTCTCAGCAGCTACACGATGACTGGCAATCAGCAGCACCTCGACGCTCCCTTTCAAAGATTGTTTGATGCGGAAGCAGGCGGGAGTTATCAGCCCAGCTTCGATCAGCTCCCTGCTCCATCCTTATCCTCTGCCTCGCTCCTCCCCCATCCTTACCTGTAGGACAGGAAGAAGTTTCTCCCACAGCCGTACAGATCGCAAACTTCATCCGCTTCCTCTTGTGTCTGGCGACTTGTGACGATGGTGAACATGAAGTCAAAGTCCTTGCCTTGAAGACAACCGTAGCCCATCGAGATGAGATCGGCCGCCCTGTCTCACTGTTTGCCAAGAATTACTATGACCTCATCATCATAATCATCGTCGTCGCCATCGTCATCGTGATTTTTATCATGATCACAATTTGCAATATCATGTTTTTTCAGACCTGTCCGGGAAGAACTTCCCTTCATTTGCAGCTCCACTGTTGCAAATGAATATCACGGACTCGAGGCATTTGATCCAAGAAGTATGGGAGAGGCAGCAGAAGCAGATGTGAGAAGGAGGAGCAGGAGCAGGAGAAGGAGCAGGAGCAACTTGTCAACGCCCTCGCATATATACAGAGAAGGAGGAGCAGGAGCAGGAGGAGAAGCAGGAGGAGGAGGAGGAGGAGGAGCATCAGGAGAAGCTTTCAATCTGTTGACACCTGGCGAAGACTTGAACAGAAACGATTGTTCTGGCATCATGACGTCACTTCAGGCATCTAATTGAATGCACGTTACCTGTTGGGAACATCCGCTGAGCGATTGGGATTCTGAGAGAGAAGGAGTGAGGAGAGCAAAAAAGTGAAGGAGGAGGAACTACAAATTTCGACAGAGCGATGTGCTTCAAGACACTTCGTCTCGCAGAGATCTGTTCGTCTAATCCGCAATTCCGAAGATGCTGAACACAAGTGACAGTCAGAGAATGAAACAGCTGGGCAGAGAGGCTGAACGAAAAGCTGGGAAAAGGGAAACAAGACAGGAAGAAGGGAAGAAAGCAAACACCAGACGAGGAATATGGTATGAAAATGAAGAAAAGACTTGACCTGATTGACAAGATCCAAGTTTTTCTTCCATTCTTCAGCCGTCTCGTTCAAGTCTTTGTCCTTCATCACCCTCTCTCCTCTCGAATTCTCAATCTCAGCTATTGTATTGACGTCGACCTGTTTTCCTTGAGTTGGAACAAAAAGTCAAACGTAGCTCTTACCTTGAGCATCTCCATGAAATACTCTTTGAGGTATTCTTTCAGAGTGTAGTCATCTGCAGCCTGTCATACTTGGAACAAGACGAAGTCAAGACGCACCGAGCAAGAAATTCCCTGCTTCATCTTTGCCATCAGGGAGGTTTTGCACATAAACCTGCCAACACGATCAGTGTTTCAGCATATCAACTAGTTTCTGTCCACAAGGCTGTCGGATGTTTGTCACCTTGTTTGGAATGACATGTCTCCACTGAAAAATTGATACATCTCTGCCTCCTACACTGATGACATAATCATCGTCGTAAGTGAACCTGGCGTCCATAACCTGCTCTCACGTGAGAAACAGGAAGTGATTGATACACGTTCAAGTGTGCATACATGCGATCCATGGCCGAGGTAGCTTCGAAATGCTTGTTTGAAGCCGAAAACCGGATACCTGTCAAAATTAGAACTGAAAACAAGGGCAACAAAACAATGGCAAGGAAAAGTCGTCCTCGACATCATCATGATGATAATCATGATGATAATCATGATGATAATCATGATGATAATCATGATGATGATGATGATGATCATCATCATCAACAACAACAACAACAACAACAACAACAACAACAACAACAACAACAACAACAACATGATCATGATCATCATTGTGTATCTCCATGTCAAACTTCATTGCAACTCTCATCTGCAGTAATTGCATTTACCGGAACAACTTCACACGTCCATCATCCTGAGCGCTGACCAACACCTTGATTATGTATCGTCATCTCACAGACTCGCAATCATCTTCATCTCCTCCACCTGATGACCCCAAGTAGGGTTGTCGCCCTCGCCAGGGTAGATCGGAGTCAAGTGCTTGTCGATGGGAATGCTGAGAGAAGAGAACATGTGTCATTGTCATGGTATGACAACCAACATCATATCAAGAACATCAACAGACTTGTGGTGGACTGTCTTATGTCTCAATTACTTCACCTCGATGCTGTCGGAACATATCCAGGCGTCCACGGCCATGGCGAAGGATTCGGTCCGCCATGGCAAGGCGCCCATGGAGGAACCTGACATGCACATATATAAGTAGCGGCGGCGGCGGCAGCAACAGCAGCAGCAGCAGCAGCAGCAGCAGTGCATATCACTCACTCTTGACTTTGAGAGGTCAACAGTGTTGATGTCTGTTGCGTTGGAGCCGCAAGCCCAGATACTGTTGGACCAAGATGTCAAAACTTGACTTGTTCTCGATGCAGCGCACAGCGATTTACCTCTTCACCGACCATCCGAGTTTGCATGTTTGAGTTTGAAACCTTTTGACAGAGCACTCCTGCGTCGATGTGTTCAACTTGCCGAGGGGAAGTTGCCCAAAAAGAATCTACAAGTTGATTTCAGATGTTTGTTTGATGGCTTGTCAGATGTTTGCTTCAGTAGGATTCAAAACAAGTTCTACCAACCTCATTGGACGCGCTGACCGATCTGAATATTGTGCTTTCAACATCGAAATCGACAGCGAAAACCTTGCAGAACGACTTCAATCAGATGCAGGGAGCTTGCATGGGATCGATGATACCGCGCTTGAATGATCGTTGAAGCAGCCAACCTTTATCAAAACTATCAGTCAAAAGTGGAACTAAGGCTCGATTACCCGCTTGTATGGAACACAATCTTGCACTCGAATCTCTTCATCCGTGGCGCCTGCAGCAAACACAATCGTCAAAGGACCCGACACAGCAAGACCTAAGACACACACAGACTCTATGGGCACGAATACACATGAAAGATAGGAAAAAGCAGAAAGGAAACAAAGAGAAACAGGTGCGAAGCATCACAAACCAAGTCCTTTCAGCTTCGACTTGTACAGCATCCCATCCCTCGCAGGAATCGAATCGTAAGGAACAATCGCATGCTCGTAGATGTCGATGCAACTAAGAGAAGGTTAGACAAAGTTGCTCAAGTACAAGACATCAGACTTGTCTCCGAGGCCAGCAGCCAAATATCTGCCATTTGGGGAATAGCGAACGCAGAAGGCCTGCATGAAATGTTGGTGAGAAGACAAGAGAAAGACGGAATGAGCAACAAGGGGGGGTTGGGGCAAGATGAGAGATCGAGAAGGAAACAAGAAGGCGAGAAGAGAAAGTTGGTGGAACAAAGAGGAGAGGAACAATGTTTGTTGTCTATCAGCAGCCATACCTGCTCGGACGATTTACGATTGGGTTCAGCCTTGGCAACCTTAACAGGGAGGAATCAGAGGAATGAACATCTTGTGTTCGGCTCTTCACCATTCTTGGCAACGGGTTGATACAACACAGTTGAATCTTGCCGAAGGCATCTTCGGGGTTGTAGAAAGGATCATCTTCTGATGCATTCTCGTCCTGTCCAGCTGCCTCCTGAGAGTGGGGTAGAGGCAGTGGCAGGAGCAGGAGCAGGAGCAGGAGACAGGAACGAGAGTGTGAGAGGACAAAGTTCAACCATAAAGTGCATTCACCGTTGAGTTGATCTCCATCCTCCATATCGAGATGTTTCCATTCTCGTGGCCGACCTGAAGACAGGGATGTCAGCTGATCGTCGTTGCCTTGAGTTCTCACAGTAAGAATCGGCTGCTTCTTCCCAAAGACTTCCTCCTCGACCACAGGCCCATCCTGCACCCTATCACATCCACATGTACGGTAGTGCAATCCTGCCTTCTTACTCTCGTTTGTTTTGACCACCATGTGATACTCCGACAGGGATAGTATGCGTAGAAAGAATCGATCATCTCCTGCGAGGTTTCGACATCGATACGGTTGTCATGGCAGCGAAAGATGATCTCCAGGTCATACCTGGTCGTTGATGTCCCACAGTCGTACTGTGCAGTCCTTGCTCGCAGTGGCAAAGATTCTCTGGGAGAATGGTGATGAGGAGAGGTCCCCGACAAGGCACAAACCTGGTTCGGCATCGGGGCAACAGCATCGACATCGCACATGTGGCCATTCATCAAGACTTTCTTTCCACAAACAGCAAGCTGACGACATTGATTTCATGTTAAAGACGAAGAGAGAAAGAAGTTTTCTTTACCTGCCACGGGCATGTGATAGCTGAAGACTCGTTTCCAGATTTCTGCGCATGAAGTGAACAACACATAAAGGAAAGGATTGCGAGAAACAGACATGTCGATATCCCGGTTGCGAGGGATCGAAAGCTTGATAGGAGTAAACAGCAACCGGAATGTGACCTGAACAGGAGACAGTTTTTGTCAAACATTATCATGTGTGGTTGTGACCGCAGCACCTTTGGCAGCGCCATTCTTCCCTTTGAAAGCTTCCACTTTCTCATGTTTCCACCTTGACATGTGCTTTGAGATTTGACCTCGATGTTCATCTTCTTCTCACCATATTTGATTGCTCAATGAACCCTTCTCAGTGTTGGCAGAGTAACCTTCGATCTTAGAAAGGCAGATCAGCTTGAAAGAACTATTTGAAAGAAGATTGAACAAAACTATTCACCTGATAGTCTCCTCCAAGGCCTTTGCTAGCCCATGAACCATTCTTAGCGACCTATTACGCAGCGTCAACTCCAATCCCACCTTACAACCATGTTCGATGTCGCATTCATATCATCATCAAACCGTTTTCTATCGCCAGTCATCATTTTCACCATCATCTCCTTCATCGCGTCCTTTCTCATCATCATCGCTATAACTTGTATTCTCATCATCTCAACCTTGACCGCTACAATCATCTCCACTCCCTCCCATCATCATCATTTCCATCATCTCATGACGAAGAGCACCTTCGCAAATCCCAGCGCCAGGATGGAATTCATGGTTGTTCCCAGGAGCAGCACGCCTTCGCATTTGAGGTCTGCAAAGCTCATATGTGTGGCAGGGGCTCCACAAACTCCTCTTTCGTCCTGTGGGAAGATCACGCACACAGGTAATCATGATCTCAGGTGTTGAGGACCCTGTTCTCGACGAAGGCATCGTCTGTCATCTTCTTCAAGATCTCTGGCGAGGTTGTCCAGTCCATGCTCCGACCTGCGATCATGATGAGACGAGGAGGAGGTGAGGCACAGCAGCGGCACCTGCCAGCTTCTTCAAGATGTTTGGAGATCCTTTCGTATGGAATGAGTTTAGATCGATCACACAGATGGGTTTCCTTGTATCTTTCAACTGATGGACAAGGACGATTCAACTTGGCATGTCCACAATGGAACAATCACCTCTGGATCCCAGACTTTCAGCAGTCCACCGAGCCCACAAGTGAAGAGACCGATCCCTTCCACCCACTTCACTGAGGTTACCTGCAAGGTTTTGACATCAGGGGAGCTGATAGCAAGCATTCCAGTTCAGGACAAACCATCGTCTTGTGCGCTTTCTCAATCTTTGCATTCACAACCCCATTCGACCAGATGTAGATATCGCCGTTCTCAACCCCAGAGATGGTGTTTCCTCGGGGATGAAACGTCATGCACTTCTGCGACAGAGTCTCTCCCAGATCTCCGAAAAGTCCAACGGCCATCTCGACCTCAACGTCTCCTGCACATTTCTGTCAGGAAATTAGAGCTCTGCACGAGCAATCGGGAACAACCCATCTCCCAGAACTTGAGATGCTTTTCTCCGCAAGACGCGAAGGCGCGGTCGCCGTAGGGGTTGAACAAGAGGCAGTCAACAAGGCCTCCATGGCCTTTGGCCTCTCGAACGACTTCCTCTTTCCTCCAGTCGAAGACGAAGATGGAGTGATCGAGATCCTCTGAAAGAGCGCAGAGGAATTTTCCTGTCCCATTGAAGGACAGCGCTGACACCTGGCGTCGCTTCCTGCCAAGTGAGAGTTTTGCGAGCACTTGATTTGAGAAGTCAAAGTCTCCACGATACAACGGGATCCTCCAAACATAAATCCTCGGGTTGCGGCCCATCTGACCACTTGCAACGATACACCTGCTCGCTATCAGCAGGGAACTTCTTCAATCTTCAAATCGTGCATGTATCACCTGTTCGGGATGTCCCATGTCCTCCAATCGTACGGCTTCCCGTCCTCACCCTTGTTGGGGAATTCATCAGTGTGGACAGGCAGGGTCCTCATGTCGGGACTCCAAGATTTCTCAGAGGGGATGTGAATTCCCTTGTTGTAGGTGAACCAATGGCTCCACTCCATCAGGGCGTCTGGTCCCAGCGGCTTGTCCAACTCTATCCAAGACCCGTCTCCCCTTTGATGCATCCTGACAAGAAGAGCCATGGAGGTCACGTCGTCGCTGTGATAGAAGAAGCGTTGGATGTTGTTGAACACGTCGTAAACCACCACTGTGGCTGCGGTGAAATACACAATCTCACCGCTGTACTTGCAGCGATTGTCGATGGTGTCAAAGTATTCCACAAAGTTGAGATTGTTGAGTCCTGGTCCGATGCCGAACAAGTCCCAATCCCAACTCGAAGCCCCGTGATACCCATAGACGAAATCCAGAGCAAGATGACTAGAAGGCTCTCGCTGCCACTGCGGATCGGTGTAATCATAGCCATGAAACTGAGCTGGCGCAAAGACAGAGTTAACGCAGGGACGGTACTTCTCGAGGCCAGCATTTTGAGAGTTTTCCTACCAAAGGATCAGGACATCGGGTCAGTTTCACACAGATCACTTCACCCATGATTCGATCTCGTCAATCCTGCTGTAGCCAATCTCCCCTTGCTTTGGGACAGCCTCCTTGTCATCGCCAGTATCCAACCCGAGCATGACTTTCGTCAGACCTGTTTCTGTGTGCTCCACGGGCTGAAATCGCTTCACGATCCTCTTCTCATATTGGTCACGAATCATGTCCTGCTTCTTTTTGTCTGCTGTTTGCTCCTCTAAAGACGCTTTGAAAGCCGAGACAAATCTTGAGTTCTTGACATTCTTATCCACTTTCTTGCGAAAGTCGCCGAGCAAGAACACCTAGACAGCAGGCTGTTAGTATGATCGTTCCCATTTTCACCAATATCAACACACACCGGCTTGCCCTTCACCTTCACTGAGAAGGTAGAACCCGTTAAGTAGTCATAGTCGATCGGTCTGTGCCTGACCCCAGCGCTGCTCGGCCTTGGGGCAGGAGCCGAGCCGAAAGGTCTGGAGCTAGCTGGTCGAGATATCGGACGTTGGAAAGTAGGTGTTTGTCTACGGGTTGTGTCTGCCCTTGTCACCGTTTGTGGCCTTTCCATCTGTAGAGCTTTGTCAGAAACAGTCTGTTCAATGAAGCCTTGCTATGTATAGTTCCCTCGCAGGAAAAAAATGAGCTTTGGCAGATGGAGCTGATTGAATTAGAGAGCATGGGCTCAGGGCAACTGGCCTACGGAAGGGCTGGAATGCAGTTCCAAGAAAGGAATGAGCAGAACAGCACTGGACAGGAAGGAGAAGCAGTCAGGCAAAGGCAAGGGAGGGAGGCAGAGGAACAAGAACGAGCACAAGCGCATAGAACAAAGAGCACAGCGAGAGCGGCATTGGCCGAGAGCATCACAGGCTGCCTTGGCCAAGGGCGGACGGTTTGCGCGGTTGGGGTCCACAGCATTTTGAAACAATATTGAATCAAAATTTGAAATTCGAGAGAAGAAATTGAACATGCAGAAGAAGAGTAGTGAGCCCCCGATGACTAGCCGTGTCAAATTCGAGTTCAACCCACCCGGGGTGACCGGGCGGCACAGTCACCGGCACCGTGGCACCGTCCGAGCAGTGAGTCAGTCGGACGGCCGGGCCTGCCGCCACCAGGCTGCGGTGGCCGGGCTGGTCACCCCACCCGGTTCTCTCTGTCCGTCCAAAGATGCCGCAAAGTGTTGCACAGGCCATACGCACCAGACTCTCCGGAGGCTTGACCCTCGGACACTCCCGTTTTGTGACGAGGACGATCAGGAGAGTCGAGGAGGCTTGCCCCTGACACTGTCGTATGTCGCACAGGCCACACAGCAAGAAGACCGTGACAAAAGACAGCGAGAACCTGGCAAACTTGAAACCGTTACTCCTGCCAACCGTTGAACGGTTCACCGTCACGGTTGAACGTTGAACTGCCGCGTGCAGTGCTGAGTCCCCCAAACTTGAACTTAAACTTAACTGCGCGCATCCGCTGCCCGCCGCCGAGCGTTCCACACGCCGAGGCTCTGTTGAGACAGTGCCCCTGCCTTGTGACTCAGTCACGCGCGGCCCGGCCGGGGCCCTGCCAGGAGACAGATATTCGCTTAACAATTTGAAATTCTAATTTCCCCTTCGAAAAATGGATCCGAGGCTTATCGAACCGCATCCCCACTAAGATCCCACACCCACGAGCGCGGCCGGGTGCGCCATGCGCGGCGATTGAGGAAGGAGTGCGGACAAAGCAGCAGGAGAGGAAGGGAAGAGGACAGGAAGGAGAGAGGAGCAGGACACAAGCTGGAAGAAGAAGACCTGTTGACCGAGAGAACTTCACGTTTGAAAGATGAGTTCGGAAGACGAGGCGAAGACAAGCAGCCTCAGTCAGACTGACATGAAAGGGACAGTAGTTATCTACTCCCCATACATCAACAAGTCAAAGACAGTTCAAGAAGGACGTCGAATCTCTCTCAAGGATGCGTGCGAAGATCCCACAGCATGGGAAATCCTCGAAGTTTGCAAGCGATTGTTTCCCGAAGATTGTGTACAGGGTGAGAACAAAGGATATCCAAGGGACTATGAGGCACAATGGCCTCCCATGAGAGGAAGGATTCGAGTTCGTCTATTCAAAGACGGCAAACCCACAAATCCAGAGATAACGACCCGCAAGCAACTTTACAAGAAGGTTGCAGAGCTTATCCCCAAGATAGCGTCGAGGCAGCCTGGCTATGTGGATCCATACATGCAGGCGCTGCAAGCTGCTTCAGCTGCAAAGGCGAAGAAGAAGGGGAAGAAGAAGTGATCTAGAAGTGAGGAAAGCATGTGTGAATCGTGCTTTGCGCTGGGTCACTTTCGAACAAAACTGCAACAAGAGTGCAAGGATTGCCAAGTGTTGTGAGTCGACGATAGAACGTGAATGAACTTGTTTGCTATCTTTTTGTTCTCGAATCGACTTGTGTGCGGTAGGATGTCTGATAGAGCTTATCATGCTGATGACTACCAGCGCATTTGCAACGTGATTAGTGTGTTGCCACATCAAGCGACTTGCTAGTTAACATGAATATGATAAGAGAGGCCGCTGTCTAACAGATCCCATCCGATCTTCAAGCCTGTCATGGTTCGATCAGCTTGTCTACTTGTTCACATCATCCCTTCACCTCGCTCGAAGTTGAGCACGAGTTTCTGTGTGTCAAAGGATGCTGCCTCCCTCCTCCTCGCCTGTCTCGAACGTCACACCACACCAATGTCGCCGTCCAGGAACATTGAAACCTGCAGTGTCTGACGGAGATTGTGGAGAGCTTTTCTTCCTTCTCCCGCAATCAAACGCCTTGCAAGCGCCTCGTATTCATCCCTGAAGCCCGTCAGGCAAGGAGAGCCGACTGGTCATCTACATGTTCCTAGCGATGGTAGTGTCGAGGGGCAGAGAGTGTAGGATGGAGGAAGCCACTCTAGAACTCATCGTCTCCTGGATTTCTTCGATTAGAACAAGACAGGATTATGTTTGTGATGTTTCTTGCCTGAGGGAGAGTGAGGAGCGGAACTCCAGACCACAAGATGTCAACGGCCGAGGTGTGAGAGTTGAAGACAGGGTTGTCGAGGGAGAGATTTGCGAGAGACTAAGAAAAGAGCGTCAAATGTCGAGAAGGGGCTGAGGTGCCATGTTGACCTTGATCACAAGGTGTGAACTCCAATCGATCCTGTCAGAGAACAAGATGCGAGATGCAACCTGATGTGAACTCGAATCAGGACTGAGCACTGTTCGAATCATCTCAAAACAGTTTCATATCTCTGAACATCAGCATCAACAACAAGAGGCAATCCTCGAAAGCATGCTCATGGACAGTGAAGCATGCTCTATCACGTCATAGTCGCACCTGCTCGCCATAAACATCCGCTTCTTTGCGCAGGTTGTACTCGGCAGTGGAAGGCAGTCGGAGCAACCACAGGTAAGCATCTGAATGTTGCGATTACAAACGAGCTCGACTCAGATCCTTTGTCTCTTCCTGGAACTGCAGACAGCAGGCGCATCCATCTGGCAAACGTTGAAGGATCCACCTGACGAGGTTGTGACGGGAGTGAGGGTGAACAATCAGCTCACTTTGAACAGCTGATTGAAGTTGCAAAGGATCATTCCTGATGACGTATCAGTTTCCTTCTTGTCAGACCTTCTCGCAGCAGATTTACCTGACGATGGCAGACCATGCGATGTCCGATCTATGTTCCGGTAAGATTCCGACAAGTCGTCATCTCTCCTCAGCTTCTCCACATCGGAATAAACAGCGTCGGCAAGGTCTGGTACATGTGCTCTGCTCTGCTTGTACTGTTTGCAGGTGATCACGTGATATTCGAGGAGTGATTTTCACCTCGTTCATGAAGAAGGTGTCTGGAGTACTAAGAATCCTCTCCTACAAAACACCTCGATCATCGGAAAAGGTTTGCTCAGTATTCTATCTCACCGTGAAGTGATTGTAGAACTCCGGCGGAGTAGCGACTCTGTCTGAAACGAAAAGGTCGATGTACGTTGCTCCTGTCGAATCATGGCTCCCCATGTACTCGACCTGAAGGAGAGGAACAACAAACAGAGTGGTCAACTCGCTCCCAAGATTGACAATCATCATGATGCACAGCACGGGTTTACACCACAGCGATCGACCCTCTTCCTCGAGATGTTGTTCAATGTACCTGGATGGGCGCCGGCTTCAAGGACAGCACATCCATCTACCACTTGTGTTCAGCGTCACCTTGGACTCTTGTTTATACCTGATGGCCAGATGTCCATCCGTTCAAGGTTATCAACACATGCACACCCAGCTTGTTGATCTTTCACCTTGTCAAAACCTTGACAAATTATCAGCATTCTTCACCTTGCGCGTGAGATCGGAACAAGAGATCTCATGGCCAAGTTTCCCAAGTTCAAAAAAGTTTCCGTCCTGATAGCGCATCAGTCCGACGAGGGAAGAGAAACTGCAAGTTTGAAGGAGCAGAACACGACAAAGTGATGCGAGTAGCCAAGGCAGCGCAGCATTGGGTCGTGAACTGGCAAGCCAAACTTCATTTACCGGCACCATTGCAGAGTTTTTCCTCCACCATTCACTTCCATCGTTTCTGCTGAGGGCTAAGAGGATGACATCGAAACTGCTCAAATTAGAATCATCAGATCGGATGACAAAGAAAAAGAATAGAACACAGACCGCTTCTGATCATGTAGCGAGAACCATGCTTGATGCCCAACAGGATGGTCCCCGAGGTCTGTACTCATGTAGGCAATTCTGAGCTTGCTGCTCTTTCCCTTCCCGGCAGGCTTCAGGAGTTGATGAGAATGATCCAGAGCTCCCAGAATTCTTCTCAGCGGGTTTGTGTTCTTCTGCTCTTCCTGGGCATGTGCTCGGGCGATGTCGAGGTATAAGGTAGCTGTACAGCTAAGAGGTGAGCGACAGAGTACGGTCAAGTGGGGAGATCGTACGAGAGATGGGAAAGGCCAGCGCGAGGAAGGGCTTCAGCGATGGAGGCTTGCCTTGCTTGATCTGCATCCTGCTCCCACGGTGAGCTTGTTGTCCTGTAAGTTAAGAGGGAAACCTGGCCATTTCCTCGATTCTTCTCAAATTTTCCTCCCAATTAGCCCATTCACATGCATACTTCTGTGCCCACACCATGTTCAAGAACGCTTGCGCGTCGATGGGATCGAGGACTAGCATTTTCTTGTAGACCTGCAGTGGCTTTACCATCAGGAAGGACGGACGAGGAGCAGCACGGAGAAAGAAACAGGAACCAGCATGTCAGAAGGACAAGTGAACAAGACAAACCTGGATGCAAGAATTCTGCAGTTCTCTCATCTCCTTACGAGCCTCGCTGTTCTGATTCGTTACCCGTGCTTCAAGCTGACGATATAAATCCCCGTAGGTGTTCCCAAGATTCAGCAATGTCTGTGCCATAAGAAAAATCAGAAACAACAAGACATGCCAGAGAGATGATGTAATGCACAGATCAAATAGTTGAAACAACACTGTGAGGAACTTTCTAGACGAGCAAGGAACAAAGATCGTTTGCATTCTTCTACCTGCTGTGATGTAGGGTCCAGTTTCAACGCTTCTTTGTACCTCTCGATGGCTTCACGCATAAATCCTTTTGCGTAATCGACACTGCAAGCTCATCAAACCATCTTCTGCGGTCACACGTAGACATCTCTTCACCTGCCACGAAGAATGCTGGCTTCGACAATCCGTGGATTGATCTTGTATGCTGCATCGGCCACACGTCTTGTTTCATCGAGCATTCCTAAATCTTGAAACACCTGAACAAGACACTTTCAGTGCCGACACAAACTCTAAATCACCTGCTTTCCTGTCCAAGATTGAGCAGCAGATTACAGTTTGTTGGACTGAGTTGCAAGCCAGTTTCAAACACTTTGCGAGCCTTTCGCACAGGTCAGCGCACACAGTGTAAGAATCGTGCGCATACACCTCTCTCAACCATCCAGACTGTCTCAGAGCGTTGCCTAGATTGTTTCGAGCATCTTCCAACGAAGGATCGATGCTTCATGAGCGTCAGCACGTCAACCAGGAGCTCATGACCTACCGGATCGCGGAGCTGAACATGGCGATCGCCTCATCCATCCTCCTCTCATCGAAGAGCAGGTTCCCGTAGCTGTACCTGTACCGCGATGACGTCGGATCCAGCCGGATGGCTGCCTTGTAGTTCATCTCCGACTGTTTCCGGAAGTGGCTGCCTTGCTCGCGCAGCAGAAGGCCGAGGTTGAAAAATCCTTCAGCGCACTCCTCCTGCTCCAGCAGAGCCACGATGCCCTCCTCCCACACCTCGCGGGCCTGCAGAGGCTCTCCGAGGTTGTAGTATGCCTGCGCAAGGTTGCGATAGACGGCGACAGACGTTGGCTGGAGGCGCTTAGCGACGGCGAAGCTGTACAAGGAGGTCTGAACATGGTTGCTTTCAAGCTGAATCACCCCGCGGATCAAGGCGCCTTGAAACCACTGCTCTATGGCGTCAGAAGACGCACTCTCGATGTACTTGAGCGCTTGTTGGATGTCTCCCGCCTGCCTCGTCACGATGGCAAGGTTGTAGAGGACTTGAGCTCGGCTCATGTCGTTAGGAGCCTGCTGCAGAGCTACTTGGAGACAGGATTTCGCTCCTGCGACGTCAGAGTTCAAGAGCCTTGAAGCATGGAGAAGTAGCTTCTCCAGGTCCGAATGATCTCTCTTGCTCAGTCCCGGGCAGGCCAAGTTAATCTGCTTTCCCTTGGCCTTGGATTTCTTGGAGACGCCTTGGCTCAGGATATTGGCAAGAAGGATCAGCAGAACAAGTTCCAGCGCCCTCCTCCTTCTGTGCAACATGCTCTCTTCTTCCCTCTTGTCCCTCCCCTCCGCCCACTTCCCGCAGGGCAGGAGCGGAGGTGGCTGCTCTCGCGCGCGGGTGGCGGGGGAGTGGGAGGGGAAATCGGGTTTGTGGGATAATATGATTGTACGAGCCGGGCGCGGAGGGGGGGGGGCGCCGCGCGGGACGAGAGGGGAGGGGGGGGTGGAGCCGCGAGGAGGCCGCGATGTGGCTGGTGGGACGCGATGAGAGGAGAGAAGTAGAGGACAGGTAGAGTGAAGAGAGAAAGTGGTAGGAGGTAGAGGGATCAATCTGATATCCTCAGCATTCGTGAGTCCGATGGTTTTCATGAAGGGTGCAGGGACGGGATTAGAATTGGCGATATCCGTCAAAGATCGACTGCGAAAGGAAGGAGAGGAGAGGAGAGGAGAGGAGAGGAGAGGAGAGGAGAGGAGAGGGGGGCGGTGAGAGAGGAACTAAGGGAATAGCAATCAGGTGGTTGTGAGCGCGGAGGACCAAGTCAAGTAAAGCTCTGTGTCTACAGGAAGAAGACAGATTTCGATACTTGCAATGAGTTAGAATCATGTGGAAATGCAAGTCGTTGTGTTTTCTTTACAATTCAAGCACAATAGAGGCCCCAAGAGCCATTCACAGAGATCGTATTCCCCCAGTTAACAACAAAACATACAAGGTTTCTTCTTCCCGCATCCCACGAGTCGGATCAACGTCGACAGGATGTCTCAATCAGATACTTAGAATCATCTCAACAACGAAAGCCATTCATGACATCGCATCGCATGCACGTTTCCACCTGGAGTTTGTGTAGCTTTACTTGAGAAGCCACCTTGATCCGTTGGCGGCCACAGGCCCCACCACGGTCCAGTCACAGTGATGTCGTCGGGGAGCACATGCCTCATCCTTTACAGCAGAAAGGGAAGACACATCGTAGCTCCCATAGTCGCTACCTCCAATGGCTGAATCTGATTTCGTTCCCCAGGAGCCAGGCAAGTCGAAAGGAGCAGCAGCGAGCTGCTTGCAATCGTCAGACCATGCGGAAGAGAACAGAGGCAGGTGAGACCATGGAGATCATGTCGATGTCAGCTTCCTGTTGGTTCTCAACACTGATTCAGATGCTTGGGAGGCAACCCCTGCGCCAGGAAAGTTATGAGCGCCATGAGGTAGTTATACTGCAACGATGCTACTTGGAACAACCTCCTCTCTTTCACGCGCCTGCAGCTACACATACATACCCTTACCCTCTCTCATCATCCCATCCTCCTCCTCGCACCCCGGCGCCCCTCCCTGCCTCCCGCCCTTCCCACCCATGGCACCTTCCATACCTCTTCGCTCTACCAACCCGCCTCAGAGCATTCACAGGGAGCGCTAGACATGTAGCAGTAGTGTAGTTGCCGTTGCGACAGCAAAGGAGAGTGAACTTGGAAACTTGCAACGCGGCGATGAACAGTTGTGGAGAGATGAAATCAAGGTACAGATGTTATTAGATGTCATAGATGCGATTCATGTCCAAGAGATGACAGACGACCCTCAGTCATGAATAACGTTCCCGCTGGTTTTGATGCACAGCTTATTGGAGAAGAGCATGTTTGGTAACACCATCCACGGCCTTGCAGAAACTCGACTATAAATGAGTTGTGTTCTTTTTGTGCCTCTAGTTATGTGCAATTCTATGACATGTAAGACAAACGGCGAACTCTGCCTCATGAAGTATGTAAGTTGAGAAATATGAATAAAATATGGACTCAACTTGATGCGCTACAGCAAGAACTCGAAGGTAAGTGTGTCATATCAACAAGTTGCAGAAGGGGAGGATTGCATAAATGGATGGAAAGTTCAGGGCCATGGTCATGTAGCCGACCATCATCTTCTGATCAACACAATAGAGACATTGCGATCAACTCAGAAGAAATTACACACAGAGATATCAAATCATACACTACTAACGGACTAAATACTCGGTCGCATGTAGCAACACATTGTCTGAAAAACATGAATAGCACAATTACGCGTATTGTTATGAACATGGTTATTGCATCCAAAGAAATAGTATTTGAAATCCATCAACTTTTTATTTTCAGGAGTTGACCACCCATGATCTGCTCCGGATTCCTTGGAAGGGAGCTGATGAACCAACAGTGCACCATGACGTCTCAGCTTGATCCCTCAGTATCCAACAACCTCGAAACCTCATCACTTAAACTTCTTGGTCTCGGTGAACAGCACATGCTGCTTGACAACGGGGTCATACTTTCTAAAAGTGAACTTCTCAGGAGTCCTCCTGGGGTTCTTCCTGGTGAGATAGAAGTACCCTGTTCCAGCCTGGCTCATCAACTTGACAAGAATACTCTTCTGCTTCGCCATGACTCTTCTGTCCCGCCCCTCCTCTCCTTCAAGCCTGGTTTCCTCGCTCGCGCCGTGCCCTATCCCACATCCCCCCTCATACTCCAGATTATATAATTTATAAATAGTTTTAATATCAATTATTTCATTGTGTTTGTACTGAGGTGATGGTACTGAGGTCAAATTAGTACAGTTTGTGGGATTTAAAAGGGATTTATCAGTTAGCTAGGGAGCCCGGTGACACACGTTCTATCTTTCAATACACCCCTAACTTTTCTGGTAAATCATGGGGTCATATAGAGTAAAAGACACAGACCATGCATCTAACATACACACACACAGGCAGCATAACCACAGTAGAAGTAGAACTGAAAGTAGAAATCCCCTGGCCACGAACTTGGAGTAGCCATGCGAACAAAGCAAGACAAGAGCGAGGAGCTGAAAGTCGGAGATAGTGTCCGCAAGATCAAGAACGTCGATGCCGGAGAAATGGGCATCGTTCAAAGTGTTGAAAAGTTTGATTCTGGCATCATAAAGGTGAAGGTGCTCAGCCAGAGCGGAAAACTTTGGTTTTCTCAGAGCCAGGACAATTATGAGAAGATTCAGGAAGTCGTTGAGGTAAAAGATATTCCTCTGTGGAATGAAGACAAAAAAACCATGAATCTGCCATTTCCTGTTGAATTCGATCAATGGCTACAAGGCGATAAGATATTCGATGAAATCGAAATAAAACGTCTTGAGGTGTCATGGAGGGTACATAGGAAATCTGCACTTCCAAGGCAGTGCTCGAAACCAGATGTCTGGAAATGTTGCTGGGAGCACCAGAGAAATGCAGCCAAGAATGCTGAAGTTGGGCTTCCTGTGAGGCAATACCCGAGAGCCGTGATGGAAGTTCATTGGATCCCTTCTTGGTTCCACAAGCTCTTCAAAGTGGACATGTGGGGGAATATCATATCAGTCGATGGCTTGCAAGGAGCCATGTGCTATGCTGAAGAGGATCACTTGTTTCCCTCCAGCAGAGGTGGGAGGACTTCCCTCGCAAACCTCGTGTTGATCCAGTTCGTCGCCAATAGGAAGAAGAAAGAGAAAATTCTTCCGTTTCTCACCGCAGACGAAGAGGCAGCCCTTTCATGCGGACTCCAGGAGCATCAGTTCCTTGCCATTACCAACCACTCCTGGAGAATGTTTGGATGCAAGGAGAGGAACTTTGGACAACTGTATGCTTTCCTCACGCAACCCCTTGGCTGGGAGACTGGCGACTTGGAGGCTTTGCAAAATCTGAACGAAGGGGATGCTCTATGGGCATATTTCCACCAGAAGTGGTGTGCTCACAACCAAAGAGAGGAAGAAAAACGAAATCCTTTCATGTAGATGTCAACCACCTGAGTTGGCTGGAACACCTCCCCATAGCAAAAATAAATTTTGGAACATACTACTACTCCTACCTCTCGTTTCACTCAAACCCAATTCCGTTTAGCGACCTATGCACATCGAGAATCCACGAAGGAAGTCAAAGTGCTGAGCACCAAGTCCATTCCAGTTCCTTCAGTAGCGCTTGCCTGCGTCATGCTTCAAATGCAGTATGTTGGAAGTGTCAAGGCATGTACTTACCTCTACGACACACAATCTGTTTCCGAGGTCACGCGTCCTGTGCATAAAATATTTGGTCAAGTTTCGGTCTGCATATCGGGGAGTGTGAGAGAATAGGTTGGAAAGGCTCGTATGCAACGAAAGGAAACATGTCAAGGAGATACTGGAAAATCGTGTTTGACATACATGTCATTTAGAAGTATCTTCGCATCCAATTCTTTCATCGTCATCTTCATGAAACCTCAGTACGACAATCAAGAAGCATTCAATCTTACTGCCACTTCAATGTCCATTTTGTTGAGGATCAACAGCACTGGCTTGTTTCGCATCTGAGGTAAAACTCACTTCAAACGGCTTCTGAAAATGTAAATACCTTTTCGTGCATCATGACGTTGACAAATTCAACCGCAGCTTCGGAAACTGACACGCGATCCGACATGTCGATCACATAGCACCAAGCATGACAATCACTGAAGAAATTCGGCCAAACTGCAGTGAAGGATCCACCGACTTCACGTACTGTTGTTTCAAGCCTTTGGAATCTTATTAGATGATGTTTTCATCCATCCCATCCTTCCCCCTCTGTACCTGCCAATGACAAGTTTGTCCACTTCTACTCCAGTGGTGGGCATGGTGTCTGTCATATCACGTTGTGCAACTTGTTTGACTAGCTATCTCTCATGTTTGAGTTGCATCGAAGCAATGTATACTCAGTACCTGCTTCAATCGTCGAATGAGAAGTGTTTTCCCTGCACCCTGACATCACATGACAAACATCAATGCACGTACAATTCCGCCCAAGAATCAAGCAGGCATACCGATGCTCCTAGGAACAGAATCTCAAAAGCTTGCTGCTTGTTCGAAGTCATCCTTAAACATCAAAGACACATCGAGGTGGAATCAATCCCACAGAAGAAGACGTCGGACAACTCCTTGAGCTTACTTCTCTGTATGGAGAGTTTCACACAACGATAGAAGCTTCCTCCTCCTCCTCCTCCTCGCGTTCCTCTTCTAGGGGATCATAGTACTCCATGCCATCGTCCTGGAAGTAACATCTACATGTTTTACAATGGATATAAATAATAAGATATTTTATAATGTACTGATTGAAGTGAAACCATACAGTTTTATATAGTTTTATGAAGGGTTTGGTAGTATGTATATCTTTCGAATAGTACATTCTAAAACATTTATTAAGTATCCGTGTAGTAGGACACTAGCGGGGGTGGGGGTTCATGGTATGTATACGAGGGTAGGGTGTTTTGCAATATCAAAGGTAGGGTCCTTGTAACCCCTTCAATCATTGATGGGGGTGGTGCTTCCTCGGCCGCCTGCCCATAAAGCTTTGAAGTTGCGAAGGCTCAGGGCGAGGAGAGGAGGGGGACGAAGAAAGACGGCACGAAGACGGCACGAAGACGGCAAAGAGCATCCCCAGGAAGAAAACAGGAGAGTTCCTCCGCTCTTCTATTGTGAGATTCTCCCTGGGTAGGAGCTTCATCGGAACAACAGCAGTGACGTCTTACATCAGTCAGCGTCCACAAAGTATTTACGATTGCTCTGGCAAAAACACCGGATTGAGCAGGAGATGATCTGAAGTATTGTTTATTATACGAATCCTTTGGGGACACGAAACGACAGCAAACGTTTCCCAAAGCCATCCAAGCAAGTACTGGTACGACATAGTCTCCTTGTAGGAAATCTGATTGAGAAAATAGAAGGAGATTTACTATTCTGGCGTCAATCAGTGATGACAACTCACGCGATGCTGGACCCTTCCTTTAAGCAGGTTGGTTGGTTTTTCCTGGAATGTTGAATTCAAACTCGATCAACGTCTCTTCTTCATCACCTTATGTTTCAAAGTTCTGAAGTCTGCTATGTTGCAGAAGCGTTAAGTTCGTCAAGACTCACAAGTTTGTTTCCATCGTGCCGTTGGAGAAGTAACTCGTGCCAACAACCTTTACACGCTAAATCCGCTCTGCTTGCTTTCCCTCCCCTGTCAGTGCCAAAGAAAACATTTGCACAGTGAGAGATGAGTGAGAAGGATCCATCCTTCAGGGTTGCCCTGGTTGCCGGTGGATGTGCTGGTAAGGATGACGCTGAGTTTGCATGCTCTCTGATCCGATGCCCTAGGTACATCGGTGGATGTTGCACTATTTCCCATTGACACGCTGAAGACAAGGTAAGGAAGAAGTTAAATTTTGCTACCACTTGTGGTGACGTCGACTAGAATGCAATCACCTCAGGGCTTCTACAAAGCTGGTGGATTCAAGGTAATTTTATACTAGCCGAGTAACACACAATGCGTTATTTGCTTCATCCATCAATGCATGCACGAGCTCCAGCAAGCTTGTTTTGACACGCACTTGACTCCTACTGTGTTCTGTCTAGGGTGTCTACAATGGAATGTTCGCGGCAGCTGCTGGATCTGCACCTGGTGCAGCTTTATTCTTTTCTACCTATGAAACTGTTAAGGTGCCAGACTCCATTCAGAACGAATGTATCTTGATCCGATCGGCAGGCGAATCTGCTTTCAAGATTCGATGAAAAGTATCATACAGCATGTTACATGGCGTCTTCCTCTTGCGGGGAGGTCGCGGCGTGCTGGATACGCGTGCCGACTGAAAATGTAAAGCAAAAAATGCAGGTGTTGCAACCTTACTCTGATTTGCACTGCGGCTAAACTTGGGTCAGGCTGGTATGTATCCATCAACGAGGATTGCGATCAAAGGCATATTCGAACAAAGAGGTTATCGAGGGTAAGAATGCCATGAAATTAGTTTCCTGTGCAATCAAAAACGCTTTTTCGATACCTCACTTTTGTTGGTCCATGGTATAGTTTTTATGTTGGATATTTTGCCTGCGTCCTCCGAGAAATACCATTTTCATTCATTCAATTTCCAGTCTACGAGACTTTGAAGAAGAGGTGGTCGGAATGGCAGGGTCGAGATGTGACACCGATACAGTCAGCTTTGTGCGGATCCATTGGTGGAGGGTAATTTAAGACAGCTTGATCTTGTTCGCCAAGTTGAAGAATTGATGTCCGCAGGTTTTCGGCAGCAACTACAACCCCCTTTGACGTGGTAAAATCATGAATTGTCTCGTTCCTCCGATGGCCTTGAGGTGGGATGCTTGTTGATAGCTTCTGTTTTTGGCACAGGTCAAGACGCGTCTGATGCTCGGAAGAGACAGAGAAGGAACACAGTACAATGGAATGCTCAATGCTATATTCAGAATATACGGTCAGTCAGTCTAGACCTTGGGAAGGTCTCTCGCTGATTCTTTTGCGCACAGCTGAGGGAGGGGTGAAGAAGTTTTTCACTGGCATTGTTCCAAGAACTGTGTGGATTGGGTGAATGAGCAGCCGTGATATTGAGACAGATGGCTAACATCGATGACAGATTGGGAGGATGTGTCTTCTTTGGATCATATGAAAGTGTCAAAGAGCTACTTCTGGACATGATGTGACATTTGGTTTCGTCTTCTGCTTGGCTTGTACATTTATGTATCTCAAGATCTTCTGATTTAAGGCTCACTTGTACTTTGACATCAGCACACTATTATTTGTTTGTAATTGGATCATACTACATCAACACTGTGAACTTGGTCGCAATTCGAGGATTTCACGCATGTCTATTGGGACAGTCCAATTCTCATCCATGTGGTTGGTCATGAATCACATTAAACCATTGTTCTTGAAATGATTTCTGCAACCACACTCTGTCATGACAAACTTGTGCATCTGAATGAAAGACGCTTACTCGGGCCCTGTTGTTGAGGTGGGTTCGTGGACTCAGCCCACCAGGATGACGCACTTTCCATGGCGAGAGGAGATTGCCCTGAAAGGTCTTCAAAGTACCTACAAACAGAGATCAGCGTTGAGAACAAAGATTGACAAGCCATGGCATCAGAACCTCTGCAGTCTCTTCGAGTGCTGTTGTTCTTCAAACGGGAAGAGAATGGAAGATGTCATGACGTGGGTCATTTCTCCAAGGTTGCTCTTCTGCGAGCCGGGACGAGTGCCGCCTGTGTATCAACGTCAGATGCTCGCCGCGAAACTTTCGTCGGCATGACCCATGGAGGAAGGACGGTTCTGATGACCGCTGTACCATGCTATCGGGGTGTTCCCTGTGTTAGCGCACAGATAGTAGTCGACGTGAGGATCGGGAAAGTCAGCCTCGTCCTTGTCGTCGGGGGATGAATGACCTGTCAGTGCGTCTCCTGCAAACATGCCCTTTGCGATCGGGTTGTTGAAAGGAGAGATGAGTAGTTCACCCAACACCTTCATCTCATGACCGTCGTAGGGGGTTCTCCTGATCTTCCTGCGGACATACTGCCCGTGGGACCTTGGTGTGTTTCCCCAGGACCTCACTGCTTCCGAATGACCTTGGCTCGTCGTCGAGTCCGTCTTGTACCCCGAGGCCATCTGATCATCGGACAGGTGTCAGTTCTTTCAACCTTATGTTTGCATCCGCCATTTCCATTCGACGACAAGATCGCTTTCATCGAGTCGATCCCTATCATCGCTCTTGCATGCATCAACCTTCAAGCCCTCACTTGATATAAATGAATGATGCGTCATCTCTGACTTTGTCCTGTCCTGCTCTTTGTTCTCACTTATCCTATTTCCTGACCGCCGGGAAATAATCTCACCCGACGTCAGGGTCAAAATTCATTTCTTGCTATCTTTCATGGTTCGCATGTCGCTCATCTACTCCTTGAATCGTTTTCATCGTTTCTACTACCGGCAATCTAAGAATCCCTGATCCTTGCAGCTTTGCTTCGTATCCGACACGAGTCACAAGTTTGACGTGCCCGACATACCGCCAACACTGCACATACTGGCTATGCAACATCGTGACTGTTGTACCTCCCTCATGTTCACAGGCTATCTCATGCCGACCAGGCATTGCTAGCCCATCCCTTCAGCATCGCAACTGCGCCCGCGTCGCCTCGGATGCCATGAGGCCCTACCCCTGGTCTTGGCACTCCTTTGTTGACTTCCGATAGGGAGGCTAGCTGTTCCACGGTGCTGCCCGACATTGTTCTGAGTTCAACTTCACGGTTTGTTCTGAGATTGATGACAGTGAATATTTCTGCCCTTATCAGATTTCTAATAAAGCATTGAGGCGAGCTTGATTTAATTATGGTTGTGTTAGTGTAACCTGGCATTTGCACAATCAAGGGGGTGAATTGAGGCTTCGGTAGGGGTAGTCTTACAGCAGGGGTGGTTCTGCAATGCGGCCGAGCGAAACTTGAAAGCCAGCGACGATGGAGCGACGTCATGAAATGATCTTCTGCTTTATGATCATGGAAGATGAGGAAGACTGTGTGAAGAGAAGAGGGTAGGACAGCAAGCACACCGGACAAGCATTCTTCTGTAGAGTAAGAAGGAACATTATGAGGGCATTCTCGCTATGCTCGCTGCTTGTGAGATTTATCCTCAGCTCAACATGGGCCGACCCACTCCGAGCATCGCACGGGGTCGACATAGCGCATGGTTACCATCCCAGCAGCCTGAAGCTACGAGGAGGCTCCGGTGTCTACGATGGGCTGCTGCAATCAGCCCCCGGACTTGGTGAAGTGAGCGAGTACTTGGAGGGTTTAGCTCCACTGGGGGACACCTGCGGAGACCCGGCCAATGTGCCGGCAGACATAACCAGCAACCAGTTCTTGGACTCCTTGAACCCACAGTCACTGTACGAGCTGATAGGAAGTGAGAGGCCTGAGTCTGAAGTCGGGATTGATACCCCTGAATTTCAGGCGCAGGGGCGAAACTTTATCAAAGCGCATACTATAAGGGGAGCATTGATGTTCCTGGAAGACAGCAAATTCTTCGTTCCCTTTGTCAAGGCCATCTTCAACAAGTTCGATTCTAACCAAGATGGCTTCTTGTCGTTCGAAGACTTCCAGGAGCTGCAGTTGTGTACCGAGCCCGGTATTGAGCTTGGAGAGAAGAATCTGACGGAATGGGAGGAATTTTTGAATGAAACAGAGGACAGCCTGGAGACAGGAATGAGCTTCTTCGGGTTGTACAGGCTGTATCAGTCAACAGGGCAAGATGTCATTCAAGACTGTCAAGTGGTCTTTGGCGACAAGTTTTATGATATGTTTCCCTACGCGAGATGGCTGTTCGATAACCATACCATGAGCAACGACGAGGATCAACCAGCTTGCAATGGGTACAAACGCTGGCAGCTTGAAGACATTGATGCACCTTTGACAGAAGACGTGTGGGATATAGGGTTAGCAATATGTTCTTCCCCTGGATCGAATGAGGCTGACGCCTTGCGCAGGGATCTAGAATCTTGTGTTCGGCCCGAAAATTCCTTCTGGCACGAGTGGAATTGGAGTAAGTGATTGTTCCTCTCTTCATATATACGTTTTCTCCTATGCTTGCCTGACTCAGATTGTCCTGCTTTCTTATGAACTGATTCTTCGCCAGCAAGCTTCGACAATCGAGCATTGCGAGATTTCTTCTTTCAGGTGCATTCGACTGTTTTTATCACAAGATGAATTCTTCAGACAGTATTCCCTGGAAGCACAAGTGAAGCAGCGACCTTCACAGGGGATTCCGTACGATCCTCCTCTGCCTTATGACGGCAAAGTGAGATTATTGTCCTCTCTGCTCACCACGTTGAAAAGTTTTACAATAGACGCTGTTGCGTGTGCCAATGGACCCCATCCTTCAATTCAACGAGGTATGCAATGGTGCTCATATGGAGGAGGAGAAGAAAGGCAGGGGGTGGGGGGGATGGAGGGCGAGGGCGAGAGCGAGGAGGGAAGTAAAGAGACGAAAGCGGAGACGAGGATGAGGATGAGGGTATGTAGTTTAGGGTATCTTAACAGTAGGAGATTGTTAGTTGCAGCAGACATATTTATGCTGCTATGAGTGGGAGGGAGAAATGTTGTGTGTAAAGTGAAGGAGATGCGATGACTTCGTTTGCACGCAGACTCAAAATGACTTCTTGGAGAGATCTCCGATGCCAACGGAGCTATGGGATTATTGTGTGTTTGATCTCTTTGATATACCTGACAAGGTGTTGACGGTTCTGCATTTGAACAGTCCAAAACAAATCGAATTATCTTCAATATAATGAACCCAAGTTTGCAAGCCTCATGACCAATCTGGATAATTCGTCTTCTAGCGAAGTGGACCACCTGCTGTCTAGCCTCTTCCCAGACGAAGAGAGCAGAAGACGATACAACGAGCAAGGAGACATGTACTATCAGATTGACAGAAATTCGCACAGCACTGGAGCTGATCAGGACAACACCCTCGTCATAGAGGTGACTCGTCTCCGCTGCTTGTGATGACGATGTCGTTTGATTGTTGTTGTGAAGGGTGGGGGACATCTGAGCCGCATGGAGATGGCACGGAAATACAGCTTGTGCGTTCTGCTCCTGCTCCTGCTCCTGCTCCTGCCCCTGCTCCTGCTCCTGCTACTCACCAGCTTCTGCCGCTTTCACTCACACTGCTCTTGCTCTTGCTCTTCTACAACGCTCCGTTTGCGTCTCGGTGATGGGAAATTTGTAGTGGAGATTTCGACCCCGAAGTGCTGGAAAAGGAGGGGGTCAGTGTAACGTGAGTTTGATACCTCAACTATCAACTGACCATCTCGTTCTCCATCTCCGGCTCGCTTCCTCCTTTCCGCCTCCTCTCGCCCTCCTTCCATGCTCTTCCTCGTTTCCTGCGCTCCTCATCTTCAACTTCTTGATCCTCGTCGTAACTTCCCCCATTCTCCGTCCACATTCCCTTGCCTTCTTCTTGTCTCTCTTCTCTACATCCTCCTGCTGAACGGGCGTCTTTCTTCAGGGAGCCTCTTCCCATGTGCTGCGATGGAGGCCCTTGGGTCTACGAGCGGTACTCTCTCTTCCACTTCTGCTCTTCCTCCTCCTCCTCTGCTCTCCTTGTAGTCTCTTCCTCTACTCCAATCTGGTTGCCCTCGTCTTCGTCCTTTGCTCATTGAGCCCCCAGGAAGCCGAACTCGAGACGCCTTGGTCTTAGTGGAAAGATGGACCCTTGGGACCCTAACTCCCCTGCCGTCTTTCCGCAAGGTGCTCCTATCATACAGTGTTCTTCTCCTACGTTCCGTTGCTTTTCTCCTCTTTCTTCGAGCCCCCGTCTTCCTCCTCCCTTCGCGCCCCCCCCCCTTCGTGCTCTCCCCTACCTCCTGCTTCTTCCTGTCCGTTGCTCTTTCCGCTGTCCTCTTGGAATGCATTGCCCTGCTTCCATCTCCTCATGCAGAACAGACACCGGCTCGAGTTGGATGTCGCGCAAGGGAGGAGGAGGTATCCAGTCATCCTTCGCCAACACCGACAGGAGGATGGCGTTCAAGGTCAGGGCAACGCAGAGGCCATGCAGACACTCAAGGGACGCAGATCCTGATGGCGGGGCCTGACGGAGGTGGGAAGAGCTCGTTGCTGTTCGCCTGGAAGGCAAATGAGGTGATAGACGTGCAATGGAAGAGAGTTCGGAAGACTGCAGGATGAGAGGAAGTGAGGAGAGTAGAGCAGAGGAGGAGGAGGAGAAGGCATTGATGTGATGTGCTGATCAGGCTCTGTCGGAGGCCGGGCTAATGCCTGCTCCTACTCTCCTGACTTTCAACGTAGAGGAGGTCTGCAATTTCTCCTGTACCTCCTCCATCTTTGCCTCCTACTGGACGAATTTCAGTTTGACTTGCTCTCAACCATCTTGCCAAAAATGAAAGAAACACGTGCAACAGTTTTCTCCCATCCTAGA